ATATATATATATATATATATATATATGCATATGCATATGCATATGCATGCATGTAAATACGTAGGAATTGGGTGTATGTATGTGAATTCCCTTTTTAAAATACCTGTTTCTGGCAATAATACTCACCGGAACTGGCTTTTTTATATATCGGATTATAGTTTCAATCTCTCTAGATGGTAGAAAACTTTTGCAATTATCTTTGATACTGGAAATTACTTTATATTTTAGGTATCTAAGAAATTTCGGAGAAGAAAGGTTAGAAACAAGTCTTCAAAGGACAAGACCGAAGCTGAACCAGAATTCATAAGAGAACCAGAAATTGCCCATGAACATGTGGAACATATCTCTGAAATGTGTATAGACCCTGCCAATTCAGTCAAGGAGAAACATTCAGAGTTAAATTCTATTGAGGGGAAATTAGAAATAGACCAAGAAGGCATCATGAACTTTAACCCAGCAGCTGTGCTGGATGATGAAGAAAATGAGAAACCAGCAGATCAGGAATATGAAACAAGCAGTTCTTCAAACACCGAGGAGGCTGCAACCAATGAAGTTAATTTTAGTGTCTCAGCATTAGTTTCTAATTTTGCAAGTAACACTATTATCCATAATTTATGCTGGTTGTTGAAGTATTATAAAGCCAATTCTGCAAGCACTAACCACTATATCTTATGCATGCTGAATCGGTTCTGTGAGGATTTGGAGCTTTCCCCCATGCTTTATCAGGTAAACATTCTGAAATATCTCATTTTCCATTCCCCAAAGAACTTTTTGTTGATTTGTCCTATTGTCTTTTCTTGCAGTTATCTCTACTCACTATATTTTATGATATCTTAGCTGAGCAAAATAAGTGTAAATCAAAGGACTACATGAACATCATAAATTTTCTTACCAAGTTTTTAAGAAAGATGTTTAAGATAATGAGAAGTCAGCCTTTGCTTTTTGTTGAAATACTCTTTTGGAAGACACGTAGAGAATGTCAGTTTTTCAATGCCGAAGTTCTCATGGAAAGCATTGGCAACCTGAGAAAAGATTTAAGAAAAATGGTTGGTGACTCAAATGTTGGATTTAGTCGACATGGTGATATGGGCTATAGAAGCATAGCAGATGCTCTGGGTGATGATGAGATTGACTTAGATCTTCCTCCAATTCACCATGATCAAATGTAGGCTATGCGTAGTTCTTTTTGGGGGCATTTACATACATACCATTAAATTCATATATATTTACATATCTTACACCTAAACGCTATTTTTAACATCTATAAAACCCAAATATTTCCTATCACATAAAAAACACAACTATTTTAAATTTTAAAAGTGAAATACACTTTTTAATGCATAGATAAGGTGGTGTGTATGTAAAAATTAAAGTTTAGATGTTAGATATGTAAATACATTAGAATTGAGTGGTATGTATGTAAATCTTTCTTCCTTTTTTAGTAGAACGAAGTAGAATTTATTCTACAACATTTGATTCTGAAATATTTCCTCTTTATTTTAGTTTTCCTGGCTAATCACACAACATTTGCCTCATAATTTTAATAAATAGGGCGGGACATTCGTCTGATTCCGTTGAAGGTAATTCTGATAGAATCAAGGGAAGTCAAGTGCAAAAGAGAAGCGAGGCTTCTGCCTCAGAAAATGAGACGAACATGAATAGAAGGTCAGCAGTGATAAAAAAATGTCATTATGAAGAGTGATTGATCTGCATGTCTTTCATTTGTGGATGTTTAGCTAATTTTGTAATTGTTTTTCTTTTTGTTGTCACCAGTGAAATCACACCTTCCAGTCCACAAATTGAGGTTGCTTCGAGAAGGTATAGTTACTCTTTTACCAAAAAACAAGACACCATCATACATGAACTTAATGAATAGTGGGTTTAAATGTTGCTCTTAAGATCCTTTTTAAACTTTATTATATATAATTTTTGGTTAGAGCAGCAGTTTTCATCTTTCTTTTCTTGAAACAAATTATTGTTACGAATAAAAATTTTCATGCAAAATAACTGAATAAGGATGTAAAGGGATCATTTATTTTATTATTATTATTATTTTTAATTTCATGGTGAATATATATGATCAAGATCATCTTTTTTGTATTTGCTTTTTTAACTTTGGAAAATATCAGGTATAAAAATGGACAGAAATACAATTATTTTATAGCCAAGGCTTTAGACCCTCCTACATTTATTTTTCATTAGGCCTATAGGTTTATGCCTCATGATTTTCCCAAAGTAAAAATTGTTCAAGCCTAATGCACTTTTTGTAGCCAATAGTGATATTACTTATCAAGGGCTAACTCAAGGCTTAGAATTAATCTATAAGCGAGCACAAACGGTCAGACGATGTGAATCTAGAAACAGTTAAAACGTAGTCGAAATCATAATTATTATATTCATAATACCCCAGAGGGGCAAAAAAATAATCATGCATGGTTAACGGTTCGAGGATTTTATTCACCGAATCCGAGACAACCAATCTAGTAGAGGCAGCTCTTATCCTACCCCCCACGCTATCAGTCTTCGCGACGTCGTTCTTTTCTTTCTTCTCAGATTGTGTCAATTTTTCTGGCGAAACTTCTCTCTGGTTGAACAGGTTGTAAACTCTGAATGGTTGACTGAATTGAAGCCGTTTGAATTTGATCTAATATCTTTTTGGACGACTTGCTCCAAACTGTAGTCCGTTTATCTCTTTCTGAGTTCAGATCTATCAGAGTGATTGACTCAGTCGAAATCATATTTACGGAACCTCTTTCAGGTTCTTTTAAATATTTTTTCGGGATTGTTATATTCCCTTCTTTAAGGTTCTTTTCGAGCCAATCCTTAAAGACTAAAAAATCCTCTATAGTATGTCCAATTATTCTGTGATATGAGCAATAATTAGGTTGATCCTTCTTTGGATCTGGTAATCTGAACTCAGGCTTCTTCATCAGACTTCTGAACATCTTGGGTACTGCTTCGTCTTTGAAGGAATACACCACTTCTGTCGTTCTGCCAAGGACGAACCCTTCCTATTATCTGTTCGATATGATCCTCCCTGATGCGGTTGCTGGCTAGACTGGCCATACTGCTGTGTCCGTTGCTGCTGAGAATCTTGATGAAAATTTTCTGCATTATCTTCATTGGCTTCTTTCCATTATCAACCGTTGCCACTGTCCCAAACTTCTTTTCGAATCTCCTGGTTGTCCTGAACTTCTCGTCTTTCTCATGAGAATCCATATGCTTGACTTCTTCTTGCAGATTGCTAGCCTTGCTGAGTAGCTTCTCAAAGGATTTAATGGTGAGTCCCTTAAACATGAAAACTACTTGCTCATGGATGCTCTTGAGTAAAATCTCAATCAAATGATGTTCCTGTACCTGAGGTTCACATTTCATGCTAAGGTTTCTCCACCTCAAAATATAGTTCATTAAAGTCTCGTTAGGCTTTCGTTTTTCTATCACGAGATCTCGAATAGAAACATGATGTTGTGCTCCAGCAAATCTCTTCACGAACAACTGTTCTAACTTAAAGAATGTTCTCACTGATCCGTTGGGCAACTCGACATATCAATCAAAAAACGATCCCTGATAAGCTGCTGACAAACTGACAAAAAAACAATGCTTCACTATCTTCGGTATTGCCACAATTGGCTCAAAAATGCGCTATATGCTGTCTGAGATTTCTAGTCCTATCAAATATCTTAAAGTTCGGTGACACAAAACCTTTAGCTTAGGGTATGCCATCGAACTCCTCCGGGTAGGGTCTACCCTTTAAAACCAATGCACTATCCTTAGATTGGGCTAAGGCCTCCTGAACTTGTTCGACCATTTGTTTAAATTCTCTCTCTGGTATGACGCTTTGGGCAGAGTCCTTTTGTTGATCATCTCTGTTAGCTGAGGCAACTTCCCTCCTCTCATCTATGATTTATATAATCTCTGGTTGATTGACTTCTGGAGAGGCTAATTGTTGTGGTTGAGACTGTCTTTGAACTGTAGCCATATCAGCCATAATAACCATGGTAGTGGCCATCTTTTCCATTCTCTTCTCCATTTGACTAATTTGCTCATCTTTTAGTTGAACAACTCTACGCAGCTCATCCACGACGTTCCCTTCAACAAGAGGCTGGGCATCGCGCGCAGATGTAGCGGCTCTGGTTTCAATGACATGAATATCCATGCAGTCTTCATCGAGGTAGTCATTAGAGCCTTCATTTTCATCATCAACAGGAACTCCATGTTCTCGGGCTAACTCAGAAATATAATCCTGAGCTTTTCAACCTTTTCTTCAATTATTGACTATTGTATCATCTTGAGATCCATAGGACTCTGCTGCACATCCTCTACTTGCACATCCATTTCGCTAGCAGTCGTTGTGACAATGTCGGATACTTCAGATCCCTGCTTCATTCCATAATTCTGTCTTACAGGCTCACTGAATCGTATCGATACTGCGACCTTGGGTACCCACACTTTTTTCTTTGATGGTGATGTCTTGAGACGGGGTGTCTCAACAGAAACATCGACATGTCGAAGAGATGTATGCTCCCCATGGAGAAGACCAGATACAATATCAAGTAACCTCGTTATCCTTCCCTTCGGAACTTTAGAAACATTTTTACGGCTGGTAATCAGTAGAACTCTCGGTCTCAGACGCGATTTAACCGGTCGACGACCTGCGAGTCTAGTGACGGTAGAATTGGTAGTGACGATGGCAGTATCAACTTTGCTCCCCAAACGGAACCTGACGTGAATGCGAGGAGGTAAAGTTTCAGTTGGCGTCTGAGACCGTCTAGCAGACCTGACGTTTCTTAGAATCTCTTTCTTCATGTGAGGGGCTACTCGTTTGAGCAACTCACCAACTGAACAATCTTCTTTGACAGTTAGTCTATGAAAAACCGTACTAACTTCTGGATACTATCGTACCAATTGGTGTCCATTACGGGATGGAACCTACTCCCTCGCAAAAGCGGAGAGGTATCCAACAATCCCAGTTCCTCCTGATGAGGAAATCCTTCAACAGAAACATCTTCAGAAATCTAAGCTTTAGTAGCCTTCTGAATCTTTTGGCTGCGGTTTCTCCTTTGTGACCGAGTTAATGACACAGTTCTCGAACTCGATCCAATTTCAAATACTGACGGCGGGACAACTAATCTTTCAGTTGGGTCTTCGACGATCATAACCTCTTTTTTTTAGCAGAAATGGGAAAGACATGCTTAACAGGCGCCGTGGTGGCAGTAGTCTTTCCCTCTTTGTAAGAAGGGAAATTTTGTAGGCAGTTCAGGTTGAACTCAGCGGACGGTTTTTGAACCTTTGGAGCGGCTACTTTCAGCACGACGAATGGGGCTTTTCCGAGTATGACCTCAAGCTCATCGAATACTGCCCCAAACCTGATGGTGGGGGCGACATTGCGGGCACTGTGGCTCGTCGGCATGTCGCAAGAAAAAGTGAGTGCTATGAACACCATTGCAGTAGCTTCAAAAAAGAAAGCTCTGAGGTTAGTTATTTGACCAATACTTTGTCATTCTAGTGCGAACACTGAAAATTAATAAAGTTCGATCTGTAAACCAGGTAAGTTTTTATTTAATTTGTGGAGATTTTAGTAAAAATAGTTTGAAAGTAGAAAAAATTTAATTAATATAAAAAAAGTTAAAGAGCAAGCGCAACACAACACGATTCAACTTAATTTGTAAAATAGCAAACCAAACTCGAAAGTGAAAGTGAAGTTCAGGACCCAGTGCGGGACCGACTTTGCAACACACACTGCCCATATGAAACTAGTTCACCAACACACCTATTGGGGATCCGACCCCACACTAAGATTAAAAGTCCTAATGAACTCCCGAACCTTTCTGTTCAAAAGTACATTATAGCAGGGGGCACTTAGTTTGCAGGAGGAACACTATCGTTGATAGGTATCATGCTATGATGTGATTGTTGTTTCTTTTTGCAATATTTTCTTTAGAGTAGTGATATACAATTATGCTGGTTTGATATGTTGTTTATATATTTTATTGTTATTTTTGGTTGTTTTGATTTCTGTAAGGTATACTTTATTGATTTTTATTGGTTTTTTTGTATATTAGAAGTTTCTAAAAATTTGTGGATGGTTATTTAAATGTTAATACCGTCCAACTGTAATTTCTAACTTAGTTATTTTGAAGATATCAGCCTGGGTCGTGGCATGTTAAATGCTTTTTTAATAAGTTTATCTATAATGATAACAAGAAATGAGCTTGAACGCTGTTTATTATCAGATCCCATAAGAAATTATAAGATCTCTCAATGTCGATCAAATATCTCATAGCAATGGCAATAGCAATTTTACATTTAAAGAGTAGATTCAATCCTATTTTTTTTGAAGGTTATATCACGATAAAGAAAGCTGTCTCCAACAAGATATCCATACCGTACTTCCAAAAACGAATTTATTTAATCCTTTTGTACTTATACTGACCTCACAAACTCAGTCATTTGGAATCACACATAATTTTGATAATCTTAATTTTATTTGAACTACAGCAACATTCATTTAAATTGTGGTTTTCCTGGATGCCCTTTTCTAGCTTTCCGGGAAAAAAATTTATGATTTTCTATTTTGATAATTTTAATTTTTTGGTAATCATACTTCTTTTCTTTAAGCATTAATGCCACGTAGTATTGCCCATACTCTTCTGTAATCTTTTATCAACACTGGAGCTGTATTTCATTTCGACTAAAGCCTTCTCTTATTTCCCTTTTTTTAAATTAACAGTAGAAGAAAGCGAGTACGCGCCTTCAACAAAGAAGAGGAGCTTCAGATCACAATCCTATATGAAAAGTGAGCATTCAGTGATTTACAACTTTTCCGTTAGATTAAGGGTCCGTTCGGGACAAATCTCACTGATTTGCTTTTCAGACCACCACCACAGTTCTCTTTGAAGAATTTCTTTCTTGCTGCTTTTCAGAATTTTCTGTGATACAAAATTGTTTTTTTCAATATGATGTTTTAAAGTGTGGTGGCTGTCATAAAGCTGTAGTGTCAGACTTTTAAATTAAAATAATTTTACAATAATTTATCATAATTTTTTGAATAATAATTTCTTCTGCAGCAGCCCCAAATAGATCTTAATTGTTTTATAATTAGCTATTCTTCCATGTGCTTCTTCATTCACTCAGCCGATGGTGATTAAATTTGAAATGCTTCCATGATGATTACAAGATCTTTTCATGTAGATTTTATTTTCTTCATCCTTCTTTGAGATTTACAAGTTTCACTTTTTCATCCATTTCCCCTTTCAGGTTCAAAGATCATAAAAAGCGGAATGTCATGATTGCTAATGCTCTGAACCCTGACCAAAAATTCACTGCGGCCCAAGTTTCCCGCAAGCTTAAAGAACTTGGCTTATTACCTCATAAAAAGAGCTCATCGGTGTCGGGAAAACACAACAATGGGAATGAAATCAGTGAAGTAAAAGATAACTCTGATGAGGAAACGTTGCTAGCATTTAGAGAGAGGTAAGTTTGTAGAAGTTCTATCTTCGCGTTATTCAAATTTATAGTTTATCATTGGTACTTAATTTTTTCAGGGTTTGCTTGACATGCTAAATTTTATTACATCACAAACTTAATTTTTTTCTATTGTTTATTTTAGGGAAAAAAATGACATTCAAATTCTGCTCGTCTTAAAATTAGAAAAATGTTAATTTACAATTTTATCAGTACCGTCTTCAAGACATCTTTTCTTGCTCCTTGTATCATGCTGTTTAGCGTCTGACTGAATTCCCATAAAGAACTATAGCACTTTTCATATGGTTATATCATTAATTAATTCATTTGATTCTTTTTTTTAAAAAAATATAGATATTCAACATATAGTGTACAGCCAATTGTCAAATATGAAAGAGATGAAGAAAGATTCAGGATAATTTCAATACGCAACCAGCAGTAAAAAAACCACCTTATTTATTAATATTGAAGACATGTTTCACACAGTAAACTTTTGCTAATACAGTTCACGGTAGGAGCTTCTGAAACAATTTTCATTAGCAATATAAACATTTTTTATTCTCGATTATAGTGCTACTCTTTTAATTTTGCATGAATGCTATTAAAAACTTTTGTAAATCATTGTAGTGTCAGTCTATATATTCTTTTATATCGGATTGCAGTGCATCATTATCTGCTAATTCAGTATCACCATGCCTGAACATTTTGTTGACGGTAAGATCTTTGTCACATTAGTTCATTAAACTAAGGTTTTATTATTTTCTTAATTTTTTATTTAATAATTTTGTATTTTGGAAATCATTTCGTAATGATAATTTGTTTAAAAAAGTATGGGAAAGAAGAAAAATAAAACTTTATGAGGTGGAGCACATCATTTGGATTAAAAGTGAATCAAGCCTAATGTTTCTAGAAACTCAAAAAAGAAGTTGACATTGTAGAAGTAAGCCTTCTCGTCCTTAGGGCTTTAAATGAACTAAAACATTTGATGAACAACTTGAACTCGACTTGATTAATACTCGATTGAGTTTGTTCAAATTAGTAAATAAATAAGTTTGAATATTTTTTAAGGACTTGAATGTTGAGAGGCTGATTGGGATTATTTTTTGTTTTTGCTTTAATAAAATAGAAAATAAAACAAAAACATATTTGTTTGTTGTTTTTTTTTTAAATTTCTTTTTTAAACAAGTGTTTTTGTTTGTCAAAAACCCAAAATAGGAAAGACCCGCTTTTTGTGTTTTCAAAATAGCTCCCTCCATCCCCATCCCGATCTCACCCTAGGTTCAGACTCTGTTCCTTCTTCGACGCCGATGCCTTCATTGCTGGCAACGCCGACCCCGATACTCGTCCATGCCATATCCCCCAACGTCGCCGCTTATACCATCACTGTTCAGTTCCCCTACTGAGAAGCTTAAATTCCTTGTTTATCTTTTTCCACTCCTGGCTTTTTCCTGCAAAGTCTCCGAGATTGTCGGTGTTGAGCAGCCTAGTGTAAAGAATTCCTATCCGCTGAACGAAGGTAACGAAGAATCTTGACGGTTGGAGATTGTTGTTGTCGAAGCTGTGAAGAACGAAGCGTTGGATGGAGGGGATGAGGTTCGCTGGGCGGAAAGTGGGGTGGGACATTGAGATGAGGGTGGTTGTTGGGATGCTGAGGAAGGCGACAATGACGAGACGGTAGGTTGGAGCGGGAGTCTGTCTCCAGTGACAATTTTGACGTTGACGAGGAAGTCGCTGGAGCGGTGACGGAGGAAGAGGAGAGAATAATTATACTTGTCCTGTTTTTAATTTTTAAAAATAGAAAAATCATTAGGGTTACGAAGCATATTTTTGTTTTATGTTAAAACAAAACCAACTAAAAATAAAAAGACCCCTAAATGAATCAAACTTAAACATGGCATAACTTGAAGTCCTTTGTTATTCAATGAGTAATTTGTTAATCTCTATAATAAGTCTGATAATAGCTTATATCATATATGATATATCATTTAAATAAAATTTGATTAATAATAATTTATTTAGTTATATATTTAATAGTAACATATTATAATTAGCATCAATATAAATATTAATTTAATGCAATTTTTTATTATTTCTTTATTTCAATGAATTAGTTGGTTAGTACTCATTTTTTATAATTTGATTGTAAAAAAATTTACTTGCAATTTATATATCATCTTATTTATTTGGTGTAAATTAATTAGATACTAATTTAATATTCATTCAATTGCATATTTGTTTAAATGTATAGAATTATTTATAAGAATTTTAATATAAAAATTTTTGTACTAATTCAAACATTTAGCTTGCTATTAATTTGTTAAATTATTTGTTTAATTAATATGAACAAGTACAAATCAATTACTATTATTTAAATTTTAAATAAGTCAAGTATGAACATATTTGTGAAAGCTCAACATGAGCTCAAGCCACCAATGAACAACTTGTCCAAACCAAATCCAAATCTAATACCACCATTACTATCCTTTAAAAGTGAAACACCTTCTCATTCATAGGTTTACATGACACCAAGATTTTATAAGTGCAACAATCAAATTTTGGGTGTTAGATATGTAATACATAAGAATTCTGTGGTTTGATTGTAAATTTCTCATTTAAAAATTTTTAAACATCTGGGAAATTAGATCAACTGACATTGCATTCTATAGATGGTTGGTCATTACTAATTCTTCTTTCATTTTCATTCCAGAAGTAATAAAAAGAAACGTGTGCCAGGAATGCATGCTATCACAATGACTAGTTCATCGCTGCAGCAAGCAGCTCTTCGAGAAAATGATTCCGATGATATGGTTTTGAGTTCCTTCTTAACGTAAGTCCGTTTGTTTCTGGCACCAAAGCTCTAGCCCTTTCATTTGAATTGATTCCAATACAAGATTTTTATTTCTTAAGGAGTGATTATTCGTTAAACAAAGCTCAAACATCACTCAGTACTTACACTTGACAATAATATTATGGAGTATTTACATACCTACCACTCAATTCTTATGTGTTGTCTAACATATAAACTTCAATTTATATATATAATATATATGTTATTTTTGATGTGATATGAAAGATTTTGGTGGTATGTATGTCAGTGCCCTTATTATTTCTTTTGGGATAATTACATACATTGCACTTGAAACAATGCTATTTACAAAACTAGCATCCTTGCGATTTTTGAACTACCGAATCTATGTATGTATCCTTGCAAGCATTGCTATTTATGAAACTAGTACTCTGATGAGTTTTTAAATTATCGAATGGATGCATTTATAGCACGGATGTCAAAGCAAATCAAGTGGTTTTTAAACAACATCTGTAGCTTTCATTAGAACTTTCTCATATCATTTTAGTATTATATAGTTCACTCTATATCCTGTTTTATGCCAGGCAATAATTTGCATGATTGCTGCATAAGTGATCATCTTTTTGTATAGTTACCGCTCGAAATAATTTTAGACTAATGTTCCAAGACAAAAAATTCTTCTTCTCTTTCCATTTTCATCTCATACGTTCCTTTTGGTATAGTTACATACATACCATCCCATTTCTATGTATCAATATATCAAACGCCTAAGCTTTAATTTTTAACATTTATGCGACCCAAATCTTTCACATCTAAAATTTGAACATACCTTTTCATGCATAGGTATGTTGATATGTATGTAAAAATTGAAATGTACGTGTTAGATACATAAATACATAGCAATTGAGTGGTAAGTATGTAAAACTTCCTTTTTCTTTTGACAAAAAAATTAGCATTTTGCTGGCGAGCATATGAAATGTGCAATGTGAATGTAATATTTTTAAGTAGTCATCAGGCGTGTCCTTGATTCAATAACTAATCTTCACAATCTAACACATATCTCTGGTTTTTATCCATAACATGATTTTGTTCAGCTTGTCAGTGACAACAATCTGTCCTTTACAGAAATACATCAGCCAAACGCAAACCAAAACCATCTGTAGCAGATCAAGATGTTCCAGAAGCAACTGATTCTGAAACTTGGGCCATGAATAACACTCCAATTGAACTTGATAGAGGAAAGCATATCCAACTTGGTGAAATCTCTGCTTCAAACCAAGATATGCAGGTTGTACATTCTGAACTAGAGGATTCCATGGATTCTGCTGATGATATGGGTCCTGTGGTTCCCAGAAAAATGAAAAGAATGATACTTGACTTTGAAGAAGATGATGATGATTGAACTATAGAAACCCTAGAGGTTGGTTAAGATTATTTTGTGAGGCTTCAAGGGGCTGTATGGTAACGGATTTCAGTAAGATTTAAGCTAAATGTTGCTAGAGATTAATAAAAAAATGTAATTTTAAATTCAGAATTTATTAGCAAATCCAATTCTTTCTTAATTTCTTCTCATTTTTTTTAAAAGTGAATTCATATTTTCATGCAGGGGAGGCGCTCCGTATCGCATACAAGTGCGTTAATGATGCACATTAAACCACTAATAATGTATTCTTCTTTGTGGAACAAGCATTGAATGAGAGAAATGTGAGGATGAGCTGGTTGGCTTGTCTTTTAAGGCAAGTTAGTAATGTACTTCAATGAATTTGCACCCACTTTTAATGATATCATCAAGTAAACTATTAATATGCTAAATAGGTGTTTTGGAGGTTTGTAGGCTTCATATTTTGTTGTGTGGTAGATCATGCATTCTAGGTTAGTGCTTTGGTAGTCGTGCACCTTCTATCGGATGATGAAATTATGAATGTTAGTATCGGTGCATCATCACGGCCTCTAAAGTTGGGAATCTAAGACCATCAACTTTTGCAAATCCATGTCCTTATGCATATCCTAGCACATTATACATCTTCATTCATACACTTGCCTTCATTTTACTTTTTTTTTTTTTTGAAGTGGCTGAGTGAGCATGTCTTGTATAATTGTAGATTCTATCATCCTTTTTTCCACCAACTTATTGGATCCTATGATAAACTATGGCATAGTAAAGTTACAATAGAGCATCATATATGAGAATAGCCCCTATGTGCTCCATGTAGTGCTATACTACTTGGGCATAAATGGAGGCACTAGTATCAAGTGAAATCATACTTTACATATGCAATGTAGTGCTATATGTTTATGTTTATGTTTATTTGATATATAAAAAAATATAAATATATTTTATTAAGTATTTTCATTACATGACACTTAAAATTTTCTAGAGATTTGAATTCAAATTTGGTGCTCTATATTTGAATTATGGTATCCCCAAGCGCAAGAACATTCATATAACAAACATGTTCAAATAAAGTAAAAATACTCATAAGTTCTTCTCAAAAGCAATCATATCACACAATTCCTTATCTATTTACATATCTAATACCTAAATTATCTTATTTACATACATAGCATTCAAATCTTTAATATCGTATTAAAAATTTAAATTATTTTTTTTTTCATTTAATGTTTTTTTTTTGTTAAAAAAAGTTATTTTTATTTTTCAAAAGAAAAAAAAATAACATTTTCATGTAAAGGCTATGATGACAAAGTATTATAAATATAAATATTAAAATTCATATGTTTTACATATAAATACATATTTCAGAGCCTTAAAAATGATATACATTTTTTCACTATCAAAATGTCATAAATATTAGATATTAAATCTGTAAATTCATTAAAATAGTGTGACGCAAAGTAATGACGGCCGACCATCATTACTAATTTGGCGCCCGCAGCTCCGGTTAACTTCTCGTTGCGACCGCGCACAACTTAACCAACTCGAACACTCTTCTTCCATCGCCCTCCCAAATTCAAAACATCTATAAAACCCTAACCCTAACACGCAAAACCCCGCCCACTCAATCCTCTTCAACTGGCCATCATCTTTCAGCTAAAATGGACTCTGTCCTTCTTGAATCCCCTATGGAAGAGCGATCTCCCGACCTCGGCCTCTACCCGGAGACTAACTACGAGCTCATGCTGCGAGAGTCCATCAAACGATTCCTCGCCGGAATCCTCCGAGAAGGCTTTGATTTCACCGTATTCCGCACAGTCATTTCAAGGCAACTCCAGTCCTGCGCTGACCCGCCGCTCGAGATAGTGTGGCTGTACTCTGCTGCGAGCTACCACGAGAGCATTGCTGCGAAGAACTCTTTTAATAGGGTCCGTATCGTAAGGGACCTCCTCCAGCTTCTCTCCGCCTTCTCTGCTGCTGGCGGCGGCGCTAAGTCTATAGCGCTGATCGCTCCGGCTGTTTATGATTTGTATCAATGCGCAGTGGACGGGTTGGTGGAGAGGAAAGAGATGAAGGAGATAGAGTGCTTAGCGGAAGCCATTTTGAGTTATATTAGTATATGCAGCGGTCAGTATAACGATGTGGAGGCGATTTCCACAGAGCTGCATCCTTGCTTTCTTGACCTGGTGAAAGTGTGGACGTTGAGGCACTCTGGGAGTGGGGGGAGCCTAGAGGCATTCTTTCCGCTGATTAGTAGTGAAGTTCGGAGGAGGTTTGAGATGGAAGGATGCGGAGTTGGTTATTTAGCTGGGGTGGTAGTTACGGAGGCTTTTCTGCTAAGGTTATGCTTGAAGGTGAAAATTGGAGGAGCTTCAAGGAAAGAGTTGCAAAAGGAATTAGGAATCTGGGCTGTTAGTTCGATAACTGTGTTCTGCAACAGGCATTTTTTCGGTATGATCCCTTATGCTTAAATTTTGGGTTTATTTTGAATTTTAACTATTTGATTTGGCGGCTCAATGTTTGTTATGTGGGTTGACTCTCCAAACGATGTTAATCAACTAGCAAAGTTTTGATGGTGGGCTCCATTTTGATAGGCTATGAGAAGACTTAAGATGAGTTATGGACTAGAAGGAGATAAATGTGAATGATAGAGGATATATTTGGCTTTGTGGTCACATAAGACCTTGAGATACTACATACATGCTTTAAGCAATGTGAAAAGTTCTCAATTGTTCAAAGGTGGATCCACCAAATCACAAATCGGTTGTTTTTTTTATGAAAGAAGAAAACTCTTTTTTAATATATTTTATGAAAAAATGGTGAAACTTGAATGATGGGAAGTTATTTATATTTGAAATTAGATTATTTAGAATAAAAAATCAATTATATATTAGAGTAAAATATGATAGTTATTTCCATTAAAAAAATATTGCCATTGAACTTTTAGAGGATCTAGAAATTGATCACACACAATTAAGAGATTTGTTGGTAGGTTGAGGATTGAGAGATTATTAATAAAAAAAAATGTGCTTTTAAGAGGCACAAAAAGTACTGTTGAAGCTTACATTGCTTATAATAAATTAGAAATTTTGCAAATGAGTATCTAAAAAGGTAAAATTTCAATATATTTTTTTATTTGTATCATATACTAGTTATTAAGAATACAACAACAACAATAACAACAAGTCTTTGTCCCACTAAGTGGGGCTGGTTTGATGAATTTTTTTTCTCCATTGTGTCCTATTGCGTGTCATATTTTCATTTAATTCTAATAAATTAAAATCATTTTATTATACAATATGCCCAAGTCTTCTCCTTTCTATAATTGGTACTAGGAATGAAGTAGAAAAAAAGACATGAGAGATCAGATCTTGAGATTTTGATCATATTAAAGAGTTAAAAAATGGAAAAAATTAAATGAAATATGAAAACTGCTATTTTAAGAAAGAAATGATTCATTGAGAATTTCAAGTATTTTTTTTCTTAGACAATCATTATTAACACATAATGTGATAGATTATTGATTAATTTTACAAATGTGAGGTGCACTTAGCCCTAACGAAAGTAAAGATAAAGCTTTAAGTCCACATGATAAATTTAGCCAGTTTTAGATAGTTATTAGTGACAATGTATTAGTTTGGTTACCATATGTTTTTAACAAAAAATGCATATTAATATGATGTCAGATGCCTGCATCATGGTCATTGAGAAGATCATATTTGTTTGATAAAACGAAACTATTCGCAAAAGTCATGAAATAAGTTCTTAGAAGAAATTACTTCAGGTTCATATATTTGTTGCATGGAAGATTCAATGTGGAGGCAATTTTTATGTTATGGCAAACATGGAGAAATATAAAGAGCAAAGTAAAAATCTTTGTATAGTGATATTGAGAAAGCATAGCTTTGACTACAACGAGAGTTATTTCGTTGCATACTGAGAAAAAATGTGTCAATATAATTTAAGTTACTAAACATATGTACGATATATTATTAGATACTGTAGTTAGTTACTAGAGCAACCGTTGAGTTCCATAACATAATATTATTAATCTTAGATAAATATTAAATCTATATATTTTTTTGGTCATACTTAACAAAGGAAATCAGAAGTTAGGCATCTTGTGCAAATGGCATAATTATAATAAGTAGAATTTTTGGAATAAGCAGGAAGTTATAGTAATAATGACTGTATGTAGAAGATAAAATGGCTTATTATTAGTAGGACAATGGCTTTATATAAGTTATGCAATTTTAATGAGCAATATGTTAATAAATATAGTCAATATTACTAGGACATAAAATGATAGGTAAGTATCGATATGCATAGAGAGAACTGAGATGCACTTGAGGAGATAATTGAAGTATAAAACTGCCTCGCAAGTACTATGCAGTAAAAGAAGATTTTGGCGACTTGAAAACAAATTTTATAAAGTAACAATTAGGTAGACCAGATTGTTTGCATTCAAGTGTTGGGGATAACAAAGTCAATCTATTGTTTTTTTCTTTTTCTAGCCTATTCGGCATTTAGTGAATTGTCAGCTGTGCTCGTTTTCATTGTTTATTTTATTAATGCATTTTAAGTTTCGCTTCTAATTTTGATACGGTGATGTGCAGAAATATTGTTGAAATACCTGCTGGATCGAAAAGTTAATGCAGCTGCTCTATTGGTAGGTTAAAATCAAATTTGAGACTTTCATGAACTTCATTTAACATTAGTAGAATTTGATCCTCTCCTTCTTTTTGCCTTCATGTACAATAAAAATTGTATGTGATTAAAGCAAATCGAAAGCTTTTCTAGTGATAGGAAAAATCCATGTTTGATTTAATGTCAATTTTAAGTGCTGAGTAGTATCCTTGCTGAGTTTTGTGAAAAGAAGTTAGATACCGTGCTTGTTGCCGAAAAACTCTCCGTGCCTGGGGGCTTGTTTATTACAAATTTGAATATAATAATGGCACTGGTGAGATAACTTTGGTCCTTATGGATACAGTTGTTTAGAAGTTACAGATTTCTACGTTATGTTTTTATCATAACCTATCATTTCTTTTAATGAATGATTTTTTTTCATCATAGGTATAGTGGAGGTAAAATTAAAATGGCAGGATTCAAAAGTTGAATATCCACGTCATGTTGCACATAGTAGGAGCATTTACATACATACCACCAACTCCTGTGAATTTTCATATTTAACACCTAAATTTTACTTTATGCATTTACGCCACCTAAATCTTTCATGTCATATCAAAATACCACTAATGTAACTTTTAAAAAGTGAAATACACCTTTCATGCATAGGTAAGGTGACATTTATGTAAAAATTTAAGTTTAGTGTTAGGTATGTTAATGCGTTGGAATTAAGTGAAATGTATGCAAATTTTCTTTAATACAGGATTGCATGTATTTTCCGTACGAGAAGAAATTGAGACTGTTTGATGTTGAGAATTGATGTGAAAGTGGTGATTATGGTGAAACTGGATCCCTTTTTTGGTTGAAAAGGAAAGAATCTAGCATAGAAGAAACACCAGAAGGTAAAGAAAAGAGGATTGAGAACATTAGAATATTATTGCGTTAAGGAACTGGTAGAAATAATGAGGGAAATCATTCATGAAGAAAGCCTATTGTCATAATGAGAGAGGAGGGTCATCCAGAAAAAGGAATAATTGAGTAAATGCCATTTCATACCTCATTTGCCAATCATTTTTATTACAATTCCCTGCTTAATTATATAACAATGATAATCATAATTTGATGGATATCTTGGCCTAGGGTGATGGGAAAACTTCTTTTCTTCTTATTCCATAATTAAAAGAATATATTATATATTTATATACACTCATATCTTTTTAGATTAGGGATGTTTCTAATATATAAAAGATCATGCAATTAGATATACTCTAATTAGGTTACCTAATATACACACTTTCTAATTTGCAACCATTAGATTTAATATTTTTCATAACACTCCCCCTCAAGCTAGGGCACAAATATAAGTGACTCTAGCTTCATTAAGGGCCTTTGTAAAGATGTCCCATAATTGTTCCCCAGTTTTTGTATTAGCTGTAGAAATCAAATTTTGTTGAATTTTTTCATGAATAAAATGTGAGTCTATTTTAATGTGCTTAGTTTTTTATGAAAGATAGGGATTGAAGCAATATGAATTACAGCTTGAGCATCACACCACAATTTTGATGCATCTGCCATCTTAAAACCCATTGCGTTCAGAAATTGGGAAACTCACATTAATTCACTTGAAGCTTGTACAATTGCCTGATACTCAGATTTTGCACTAGATCATGACACTACATTTTATCTCTTTCTCTTCCACGAGATCAAGTTATCACCAACAAAAACTCAATATCTAGTAATGGTTCTTCGATCAATCTTGGAATTTACCCAGTCTGCAATTAGGGAAACATTCAATTTTTCCGTGCCCATGATTCTGATATAGAATCTCTTTTCCAGGAGCTCCTTTAAGGTAACGTAATATCTGTTCTAGAGCTGACTAATGACGGACTGTGGGGGGGACATGAACTAACTTATAGTGCTTATTAAATATGCAAAATCAGGGTGAGTCACTGTGAAGTATTTTAATTTTTCCACTAATTTTTTATATTATTCAAGATCATTAAAAGACTCTCCATCCGTGGTAAGTTGTTGAGCGGGAAACATCAAGTACTGTATAGTTTGACCCTATATTTTTTCGTTTCTGTTAACAAATCCAACACAATTCTGTTAAGATAAAAATATTCCCTTCTTGCCCTGTGATATCTCAATCCCTATGATGTATTTTAAGGAACCCAGTTATTTAATGATGTATCTTGCTTCCATTAATAATAACGCCATCAACGTACATCACCAACATAATGATCCATGAATCAGATTGTTTGTAGAATATAGCTTGATCACTTTTACTCTTCTGTATCCCAAACTCTTCTACTGCTTGGCTAAATCTTTCAAACGATGCCTGGATGCTTTGCTTCAATCAATATAGTGACTTACAAAGACGATATATTTTCCCAGACTCCTCATGAGCAAAAAACCTAGGAAAATATTCCATGTATACCTCTTCTAATAGATTGCCATGCATAAAGACATTCTTTACATCAAGCTAGTGCAAGAGCCAATTATTCATTGCAACCAAGGATAGGAAGAGGCGAACCAAAATCAACTTAGCTACCAGAAAAAAACGTGTCCAGGTAGTCAATCCTCATAAATTTGAGCATATCCCTTAGCAACTAACCGAGCTTTGAACTGAGCTACATATCCATTAGGATGAAAGTTAACTATATCCATTTACAACCAACTACATTTTTCCCGAGGGTAGTTCAATTAATTCTCAAGTTTCATTTTCAATTAAGACTTTCATTTTATCAAGCATTGCGGGCTGCCACTCTAAATGGGATATGGCTTATTGAACATATCTCGGGACCTCAACAAAGTCAAGGGAAGTAATAAACAAGCAATTATAAAATAAATGATCAAAGTTAACATAAGAGAAAATGTGATAGGCCCTCATTAAGATAACATAAGAGAAAATTTCAAGACATTAGAATTGAAAATGTGACCGTAACTTAGAGAAAAATTTCATAAAGTTAAACTAAGTCATATGAGAAAATCATTTACAAAAGTGACAAAATATTGAAATTCATTAAGATAACAAGAAGGTAAGGTTCTGATACACCTCGACACCAAAATCAACGATTAAACCATTACACAATCGCAGTAGGTAGGTGGAAAAAAAACATAAATAAGGGTTGTTCTTACAACAATCAAAGTAAACCAAGCATGCTACAAAATTGATCTACTATTCGAGAGTTAGTTTGTCACTCCCAAACCCTAGACGCTGCTAGGAACACCACAAGAAGAAAGAAAACAACAGTCACAACAAAACATGCATGAAAATAAAACAAACCCTAAATTTTCCTCTAATAGAATCCTCATACAATTTTTGAAAAATTTCCTTCTAAACTTCCCTCTAAAATTCCATCAATTTTTCCTCCTTGAATATATAATTATGGATCTAGTGGACCCCACTCCTTTCTTTCCTTCCTCTGCACCTCGCCTGGCGCCCTCCCCTTCTTCCCGCGATAAAGGGCGACCCATCTGCAAAATTTTGATACCGATCAATGCATAGCATAATATCTTAAAGCAATGAGCATGTGACATTTTGATGCATTGAATAATAGAGAAGTTGAAAATCCAATATGGAAGAAGAATTTAGGGGAGGGGAGGAGAGTGGAGGGGAAAATCAAAAGGAGGCTTATGATTTAGAGATGGGAGGACAATCTAGTTGAAGAAAACCACAATAGCAAATGCCATTTTTTTGAGTTCATTAATAAATCATCCTCATTTATCATTTAGATTCTGAATAATAACATTTTATGGAAAATATGAATTCAACATGACTAATGAATATCACAAAATACTTTAACCATGATAAATGACATTATATGGTAGAATAAGTATGAAATTGAGTCGTCCATTAGATGAGCAGATAAACTCTGTATCAAAGGATCAGGATGAAGTGATTAACTTATGGTTATATATGGAAGTTGTTCGAAATGATTTCCAAAAAAAAGTTTTAACACCTCTGGCAAGCATTCAACAAGAATAAATAAAAAATGAACTTTCATGAAGCTGATCATAAATAGTTGGGACAAGACTAATGATGAGGTAATCATGATAATGATTAGTGAGATTAATAACTTTTAGTACATTAGTAGGTCTATAAGAAAGTGAGTTAGGGAGGGAGATGAGATGCCTACAATCATATTTCACCACATCACCAACCATTTTTTTCAACACCATGCCTTTAAGAACATATGATGCCTGACACTTGTTTTGAATCGGGGAAGATATTGGTTCTTTGATCTTCTCGTCATTGTTTTTTCTTAACAATAGTATTTTGAAGCTAACCTTGATGTGAACTAAGAAGAGACCATTTTCTTTGCATTTTATATTTTGGTTGTTTTTCCTTGATCATCAGTTTTCTTCAAGTGTTGTCATTGGAGGGTATGGGAGTAAATGAGTGGAGTCGAGCTTGAGTCATCCTTTGTTTAAGTTTGAGCTCGATTAATTAATTGAGTTCGAGCTCAAGCTCGAGCTTAATTTTGTGACTTTGAGGCAGCTCACGAGTCGGCTTGTTTATTATGAAGTGGAATGGAGAATATATTTTTAATTCAAGCTAACATTATAATAAAATGACATAGAGAATGAATAATTAGGAGATAAGTTGTAAGAAATCACTCGATATAAAATATAAAATCTATATATTTAAATATATTTAATAATTTATAGATAAATTCTTGAATTTTAATATATTTTGAGTGTATTTATACTAATATATATATATTTTTTTAAATGGGTCAGTTCTCAAGTTAACAAGTCCTGCCGGAGCTTGGCTTGTTAGCTCATCGAGCTCAACTTGCGAGCCACTTATCGAGCCGGCTTGGCTCAGTTTGGCTCAGTTACGCCCCTATTAGAGGGAGACAATGAGAAGCTTCCGGGGTTAATCTATTCTTGCTGATCTGCATATATAAACTTAAAATCTGAAGTACTTTGTCATTTTTACAAACGCAAAATGCTTATATTCTAACTTTGACATATTCTGCAAATCAGAATACTGAAGATGAACAGCTTGTAAGAGGAGTCCTCTATGATGCTGTGGTTTTGGTGGATTATTCTTTCCTTTTGTCTGTGAAGGACATAGATCAGTATGATAGGATAAGAAATCTTCTCATCGCAAAGCTGATCGTTACTAACGAGGCTGTTGAACTAGCCAGGTTAGCTGACAACATCACATTTCTTCCAGCTAGGCAATCATCAGAACTGATTGATTTTCTATTCTCTGATTACAGGACGAATGGGGATCATGGCAAAGCCATCTCCTATTTGAATGCATTTTCAACTTCATCTCTTCGGACCGAACTAGTCAACTCGGTGCGCAATCAGATTGGAAATTCCAGCACCCAAAAGCCGAAAGACAATTCGCCCAAAGGTCTTCTCAGTGAGTATCCATATTTCTTCTTTGATTTTTAATCAAATTGTCATTGTAACAGGTGGTTTGAAAAATGTCAAGAAAGTCTGGACATTTAGTCCCCATCCACTCTTAACATGGGCTAAAATGGTCTCCACAAAGGACTATTTCAGCTCCAATTTAAAGATTCGGGAGTCTAATTTGACACTTTTATATGAAGGCCTATTTTATGCCCTATTTAAAAAGTTTGGAGATTATTTGACACACTTATATGAATAGCTATTTTAGCCTCAATTTAAAAGTCTATGAACTAATTTGACACTTCTATATGAATGGCTATTGCAACCTTAATTTGAAGAGTCTAAGGAGTAATTTGATACTTTTATTGACTCCGAGATGGTCAGGGGACTATTTTAACACTTTACTCGACAATAAGTGAATAGGACTAACTCATGCACTATCAGAAATATGATAAATAATTCCTGCATCTAACAACTTTAAAATTTCCTTATCTACCACTTCTTTCATTATTGGATTTAACCTTATTTGAGGATCAGCCCTAGGTTTATGGTTATCTTTTATAAGAAATCTATGATGAGTCTTTTTAAAAAAAATTTTTTTTTAAGCAGAGTGGCTTGTTCATCTCGAGCAAATGGGGAAAAGAATTCTTGATGATGAAGCTTCAAAATATGCCAAGAAGCTAATGTGTGAAGAGTCCAACCTACTCGCAGTGCAGTCTGCATCAGCTGATGAGAAAAACATGGATGTCGATTTATTCTTTTTTGATAAAGGCGAGTCGAAAGGTGACGAAATGGAGTCAATGGATGCTGCATTTATCTCTGCAGCCCAATCCATGAAACAGATTTCAACCAATGGAAGGGTGAAAAGAAAAGAATCAACAGGTGAAGCAGGAAATAGGGTCAAATTTGTAAAATATGATATTCAGAACAACTTATTTGAAAATTCTGGCATGTTGCTGATGCTGCAAATAGTGATAGTGAGGTTGAGAATTCATTCTCAGATGCAGTTATGGAGGGATCTGACTGAGTTTGAAGCAGAGCTTCTTCTTGTTTGGGGTTTCTAACAGTTAGCTGTTCAGCTTTGGAGCAAGAAATTGTGCTCCTAAATTTTTTGCTATTTACAGTTTAGTAGTATTAAATGATGAAAACTTTTGAGAGAAAATCTGTTCTTAGTCTGTAACATGATGAATTTTAGTTACAGCCTTCTACTTCTGCATTCTGTTTTATGGCTCAGAATGTTGGCCTATAAATGAGAAGCATAAAAAGTGTTGCTGAGATGAGAATGATTAGGTGAATGATTGATTTTACACTTGAGATAAAATGCGAAATGAATATATTTGTGAAAGGGTTAGTGTGGCTTTAGTTGCAGACAAGATTAGAGAGTCTTCCTAGATGATTTGGTCACATTAAACATCAACATCGAATGATCCAATTAGAAGAGTAGATGTTTTATATTTAAATTATGTTAAGAAAGGTAGAGGTTTGGGTTGTAAGTGAGTTGAGCTGACTTGTGAGCCTGTGTTAGTACTTGGCTCGATAAGTGGTTGACGAACTGAGCTCTATGATTTAACAAGCCAAGCTCAAGTTTATCCCGACTCTACTTGTTAGCTGGCTTATTTAAAAAAATATTAATATAAAATATATTTAAATATATTAAATTTGAAAATTTTATCTTTGAGTTAAAGTATTAAAAATATTTTAAAATATAATATTGAGTATTTTATATTAAATGATTCATTTTATTTATCATCTTATTATAATACTATCTGAAAATAGTGTTATTTTTTTTTCTATTTTATGCTAAATAAACTAATTTGTGAGCTTGCTCGAACTCGTAGGCTTAAGCTCGAGCTTAAACTTAATAAAATTAATCAAGCTAACATTTAACTCGAAGATGCCTTGAGCTTGACTCAACTCGTTTATAGCCCTAATAAAGGTAGACCTAAAAGGACTTGGGCATATTATATAAAAAAATGATCTTAATTTATTAGAATTAAATGAAAGTATGACATTCAATAGGACACAAATAGAGAAAAATGATTCATGTAACATACCCTAATTAGTGGGATAAAGGTTTTGTTGTCGTCGTCTTCTACTTCTACACAATACTTTTCATTTTTTTTTTTTTTGGTGATATTTGAGTGAATTTAATTCAAAATTGTTCTCTTGATTGAAATCTTAAGCTCTTGGTTAAGAGGATAGGTAGGCTTGCACTACACATTACACCTTCTCTTTTATGTCTTATGTGTAAAAGCTTGTCAGTCGGGAAAAAAAAAAAAAAAACAAAATCATGTATTTACATATCTAACACCTAAACAGGCTAGATGTTAGATATGTAAATACATAACAAAAGCTTATTAGTGCATTGAATGAGTTACATTTCATATAAAAAAGGTTATTGGTATTTGTAGTTGATTGAACTTTAATAAAATTGTAGAAATTTAAAGTTTGAATTTTAGAGCATTAATCCACTTGTTTACTTTCAATAGTTTTATTATTTTTATATTTTATGTTTTTAAAAAACTATGTATTTTTTTTTTCAAATTAAATATGTAACAAAATTTTTCTTAAGAAAATATATCACATAAAATAAATTATATTTATGGAATTTAGTTTTATTTAACTAAGCTCAACTCAAGTTATGTCAGGGAATATATAGATGTGAGTGTGCGCGCACGCGTGTGTGCAACTGTTGGCTTGGTGGTTGGCAGCTTCACGGTAAGTCCCTTTAGTCTGGGGTTCAATTTCATTTAGTTCGAACTAACACATATGGAGGGGGACAGACACATGTTCAACCAACTTGAAGATACGTATCCTAATTTCTACTAAAACTATAAAGATCAAATTATTACAATTTTCTTTATTATTATTTTTATAATTAAAGCGAACCAAAATTTGCGGATCTCATTTTTCTTTATCCTCCATGCGTCCCGCCATTTCACTCCGCCATCCTCCGCCAATCTCCCGCAATGCTCCCCTTTTCTCCCTTCCCCCTCTCTCACTTCTCCCTCCCTCCCCTTCCCTCTCCCAAATCCTCCAATCCCACGCCCATCTCGTCTCCCTCGGCCTCTCCTCCAGCCGATCCGCCATGTCCCACCTCCTCGCCGCCTGCGCTGTCTCCCCCTCCCCGCCTCCCTCCTACTTCCACTCCATATACCTCCAGATACAGCTTCCCAACGTCTTCGCCTCCAATAATCTCCTCCGCTGCCTCTCCAAAGGCGAAAACCCTAATCAAGCTCTCGCCTTTTACAAAAACATGAGAATCTCCGGCGTGCCGACCAACAAATTTACCTTCCCTGTTCTCCTCCACGCCTGCACCAGAGATCCATCTCTTCCGCAAGGAACCCAGGTCCATGCCCATGCGTTTAAGTTTGGTTTTTGTGAAGATTTGTATGTCCGAAATGCGTTGATAAGCTTATACAGCGCTTGCAGATCATTCGGCAAATCAAGGCAGGTCTTTGATGAGCTCCCCGAATGCAGAGATTTGGTTTCCTGGAACGCCATGTTGGCTGGACATGTGAGGAACGGGCAAATTGATGTTGCGGAGAACATGTTCGATGAAATGCCTGAACGGGATGTGATTACTTGGAGCACCATGATTATGGGCTATGTTCAAAATGGGGTTTTGGAGAAAGGTCTTGATTTGTTCGGCCAAATGGTCCGGAGTGGTCGGGTTTTTGTAAATGAGGCTACTTTGGTCACCGTTCTCTCCGCCTCGGCGCAACTGGGCTTGCTCGAGCATGGAACTTTCATCCACTCGATTATAAAGAATGTGAATTTTCCCCTTACAATGGCCTTAGGGACAGCACTCGTGGACATGTATGCGAAGTGCGGTTGCATCGATCTGGCCCAAAATGTGTTTTATCATATGCCTAAAAGAGATGTGTTTGCTTGGAATGCCATGATTTGTGGTATTGCTTCTCACGGACAAGGAAAGGAAGCTCTTGAACTATTTCAACAATTCATCAACGAAGGACTTAATCCCACAGCCGTGACTTTTGTTGGCATCCTCAATGCTTGTAGCCGAGCTGGTTTGGTTGACGAAGGTCGACGGTTTTTCAACTCGATGGCTAACGAATATGGCATTGAGCCAGAGATGGAGCATTATGGTTGCATGGTTGATCTATTCGGTCGAGCCGGTCTTATTCCAGAAGCTCTTGAATTGATTCAAGGTATGAGCGTCAAACCAGACTGCGTGTTATGGGCGACTCTTTTAGGGGCTTGTAAAATGCATGGATTTGTTGAATTAGGAATCATTATAGGGAAAAATTTGATTAAATTAGAACCCGGACATGATGGGCACTATGTTCTTTTGGCCGCCTTGTATGCCAAGGCGAGGAAATGGGAAGATGTTACTGAGGTTAGGAGGTTGATGTCGAGTCGTGGGACGAGTAAAGTAGCGGGTTGGAGCTTAATTGAGGCTAATGGGGAGCTTCATAAGTTTATTGCAGGAGATTTGGATCACAAAGAGTCTTCTAAGATCTACAAAATGATTGAAATTATTGGGAAGAAGTTGGCGGAGGCAGGTTATTTACCAGATGTCTCGTCGGTCTTACATGATATCGAGGATGAGGAGAAGATTTATGTAATAAATGTGCATAGTGAGAGATTAGCAATTGCATATGGGTTGATGGTGGTCGAGCAGGGCCGTCCGATTCGTATCGTTAAGAATCTCAGGGTGTGTGTAGATTGTCATGAATTTAGTAAGATGGTGTCGAAGGTGTTGGGGAGGGAGATAATTGTGAGGGATGGGAGTAGGTTTCATCATTTTAAGGATGGTTTTTGTTCTTGTGTTGATTATTGGTAGCCAATATGTGCTTGTAAGTATATTCATATTTCACAAAAAATGTGATATATTTTATGATATATTTTACTCACATCTAAGATGGTTTTCTATATCTCAAAGAGTTCTAGATATGTCTTCTTTCTTCACATAGGCATTCTATTGTTTTTTTTTTTATATAGATTTATAAGATTATGATGAAACATTAGAAAATAGTTGGATGGATAGATTGAAAATGTCATATGCTCATTTAAATTATTAAAATTCTACATATAATTAATTAAATTGATTAAAGCTTGATTACAACCTAAGCTCCATAATAAATTTAATAAAATTCAATTAGTATTCACAAGTTTGATAAGGAAATAAATAAATGAACTTGAACATAGCTCTACAATTATTTAAGAAGATTTATCCTAAGAAACAGCAAACAATACAATTGAAATATGGAGCATAGGTTGACTAATTCGGGAATCTCCGGATCTATGCTTATTTTCAACTGCCCGAAGCATTTCGTCGCTTGCTACGCCCTTCCTCGTCTCTGGGTGCCTGGTTATCCACTGTAAGCCTTTCCTTGTTTGAACCTCGCCATTCACGTGAAGGCTATGCCATCCTAAGGTGCTACTAAATGGAAGGATTTGGTGATTCATGGAGCCTGGTGTTAGTTAAATCTGGATATTTTTATGAATAAATGCATGCATTTGTAATCATAAATATTTTATATTTTTTATATAATACTTTCTAATAATCCCATGCTTATATACCTAACAAGCCTACCTAAATAATCTCTCTTTATACCTTTAATCTGGGAAAGCTTCAGATTTGCTGTAGAGTGCTTGCATTTCTTATGGATGAACAAATCACATGTGTTCTCTGTAACCTTGCAAACCTGTGTTTCTTAAAGGGAAATTCACAAACATAGCACACAATTCTTATGTATTTACATATCTCACATGTAAATTTTCATATTTACACCTATGTATGAAAATGTATACTTCACTTTTAAATGGTGATAATAGTGCTATTTATTATGTGATATTAAGTATTGTCAAACTAGTTCATTGAAATAAAGGAAAAAAAAAAAAAGATTAAATGTATGTGTATATTGATATTAAATTATAATATAATACTAATACAAATGTATTATTAAATAAGTTCTAGTTAATTCTAAGTTACCTGTTGAGTAACAAACAAGTTTGTTCACGAACATTAACAAGTGAGTTGTATTATGTTCAAATTTAGTTCATTTAAGTGTGAAGTTTAAAAAAAAAAAGATCTTCAAACTTGTTTATATACTAATTTGAACAAACATATTCGAGTATTAATCGAGCAGATTTCGAGTTGTCAATCAAGTGAATTGCTTCCTTTACAACCCTAGGGTGTGGTAAAAGAAGAGGTTAGGCCATGGAGAGTTTATTTATAGAGGGAATCTAACAAAACCCCTCAAAGCTAAGAAGAATGTGTCGAACCAGGCCAACGATGCACGCGCAATTCACCGAAAAAAAAAGAGGTTTTTATTTTAAAGTCGATAAATTTTGTGTCTACATCTAATCTCAGACCCCCTATTCATAACGCAAAGACTAGAGTCTGTACTTCATAGTTGACAATTTGATAGTGTTGCATGGAAAAGAATTGAAAGATCATCTAATACACATCATATTTATATATTGAAATGCATCAATCATTTACAAATACACATCATATCTGTTTATATTTGGAAAATTTACATACATGCCTCTTCATTCATATGTATTTACACATCTTACCCATAAACTTCATTTTATATATATGCCCCACTTTACCTATGCATGAAAAGGTGTAATTCACTTTTTAAAGTTAACATGGTGATATTTTTGTTGTCATATGAAAGATTTAGTTGGTAGAAATGTAAACAAAAAGCAAAGTTGAGGTCCCTCTATATTTATACACTATTATATTTTGTGTTTGATTTCATTGGCAAGTTATTTGTCCCTATATTTAGAAGTTGAGCTTTGAAATGCTAGGATTAATGAATAAAGAAATAAATAGAAATGTTTGAGCACATTCACTTATCTCTTTATATCTTGTTTAAATCATATTACTTCGTGTGTTTGATAAATTATTTATTTCCTTGTGTTAAGTGCTTTGAATTTAGATTTCAAAGTGCCGGTGCATCTTTAATTCATTGCCGCCTCTTTCTCGACGTTTCGTAACGTTCTGGTTGTCTATATTTTGCATGCTTGAACGTGTGGATTTTCGAACGAGAATTTCAAAAGAATGTGTTTAACATTACGTTTTTAGATTAGATCAATCATATATGTCTTCCATCATAGATATCATCTCATGTCGACTCGAATAAATAGAAGAATAGATAAAGAGACGAGTCACTAGCTATAATAGCACGGATATAAAGTTCAAGTTGAACTTGATTGAGAACGTTGTCAACTCTCAAGATGTTATGAACTCCATCATTGAGAGGTACAATGAAGAAATGGCGACTTTAAATATGTTGAGAATGAAGAAGATGAATAAATCATAATGACTCGTAATGTTTCTCTTTTTTTTTTCTTTTAACAAGACTTGTAAATTATTTCTATGCATTTACATATTTAATAACTATACTTTAATTAGTACATATATATTACATATTCATGAAAATATATATTTTACTTTTTTTAAGAGTTAAAATAGTGATATTATTTTTATCTGATACAAAAGATTAAGGTGGTATGAATGTAAAAAAGTAAAATTTTGGGGTTGGATATGTAAATATATAAGAATTGGGTGGTATAAATGTATGAAACTCCCTTTTTTATATTTATTTTTTTTAAAAAAGAAGTAATTTATAAACAAGTTTTTGAAAATTTTTAAAAATAAATTAATTTATTTTTAAAATGTTAAAATAAGTTTTATTTTATTTTAACTGTACAGTGTTAGTAATTCAATAATTTAATTCAGAACAATGACTTAATTTAATGTAAATGAATTTACTTGCAAATAAAGATGGAAACGGTCTGCAATGGATGTTTTTGGTGGCTTTTACACACCCCACAATTGATGTATTTACGTATCTAACATTTTAACTTTCATATTTACAAACATAACATCCAAATCATTAACATCGCTTGCTTACTTCTTTAATCTTTTCATGTATATATTTATAATATCAAACTGTTATAAATATATAGCACAAAAAAAGTTTAAAATAGCACTCAAATTCTCTTGATACGAGTTGAAATAATCTGCAGGCTATTACTACTTTAACCTTCTTCATAAAAGTATTGGAACTAAATTAGCACTTTTATAATCTCTCGGATTATGAGACCATTTTGACACTTCTCCATTAAAATGTTATAATCATAAATATGAATTATTAGATGTTAGATATGTAGCCACATTAGAATTGTGTGGCGTGCATGTAAATTCGTCTTAACTCTATATATATATATATATATACAGATTTTGTAAGACCCATGGGGTCACGAGTTCTATCCTGCCTATGTGTGAAATAGGATTCTTAGGCACACAAATTTGGTCGGGAGGCTCTTGCAATAGCCTCTAACCAACATGAAAAAATATTACCTCAGGAGTACTGATGCATCAGTACTCCAATGGGGAGGTGTCACGTGACATTATGGTGAGACCGTTGCATATGTGACACTTCCTCATTGTATCAGTACTCCTGAGGTAATATTTTTTCAACCAACATATATATAATGAACATTCACATGTATAACACAAAACTCATATATATCTAACACCAAAACTTTTTTTTTTTTTTTTTTAATGTTTATACCACCTAAATCTTTCACATCACCTAAAAAATACCAACATTTTAATTTGAAAGGTGAGACACATCTTAATATATTAGGTGGTATATATGTAAATTTTAGAGGTTTGATACGTAAATACATAAAAATTGTGTGATACATCCTAAGTTTTTCAGTGTATCTTTCAACAAACCTTTGAGATAAGTTACCATTTCAATCATTACCCACACACAGAGAGTGTCGGATCATAAAGATTTAGGGTTTAGGAGGTGCAATAAGTATTATGTCGAAAGGAACATTAAATAAGATGCCGTCGAAACAAAAGCATATAATTGGTAAAGTTAGATTTTACATTTTTGAAGTCCTAATTGAGTAGAAGGCTGGAGCCAGTCCCAAAAATGGCAGCTTTGATATTCAAAATAGGCTGGAATTAAAAAAAAAAACAGCAAATCAAATTTTAAGAAAATAATTAAAATAAAAATAAAAATGCCATTCATGAAACTATTAAGCCAAAAAATATGCAATATAAACAGTTAATGCAGCTTATTGACAATGGGTATGTCTAAGGGCCTGTTTGGGACAGCTGCGGCTTATTGACAATCTGATGATAAACAACTGATCCGGATCAACTGCTGATCAGCAATTGATATGAAAAGACTGATTGGTTGTTTGGTTTGTGCTATTAGAAAACAACTAATTTGCACCCAAACTCGATATTTTAACATTGATACCACAGAAATCTATCGATCACATTAAGAAAATACCAGCATTTTAATTTTAAAAAGCGAAATACACATTTTCATGTATAGGGAAGGATAAGATGTTAGATATGTAAATACATAGGGAGTAAATGGTATGTATGTTAAATACATCATCAAGTTCAGGGCTATAACTACAAGTAAAAAAATATATTAAAAACGTGATAAATATATCTAAAATAGATATTCCGAGCCATATAAATTATTAAAATTTGACATAACAAAATTTTATATTTTAATTTGATAATTTCCGCTCTTGTGCGTGCAACAAAATGTTCATGCATCTGATTAGAGTGTTAGGCACATAATCAGCCACAAAATCAGCCACATAATGTCTTAATGGTGCAGTTTACTGATATGAAATGAAGGGCATATATTAACAATAAAGATGGCAGGGATTAATCGAATTATACAAGGAAAAAGTGTTGCATAGCTCACCTGCTCTTACTCCACTTGTGAGGATCCCCCAGCATCACTGATTCTGCAAATAAAAGAAAAAAACAGTTAAAAACAATGGGAGGCACCATGACTGTCCCAAAATAACAGCATCCTATTAGAAAATATAAGGTGGGTTCATATCAGAAGTTCTGTATTAAAAAAAAGGAAAATTATACTCACATACCACACAATTCGAGTGTCTTCACATATCTAATGCCTAAAGTTTGATGGTTACATTTATATCAATTTTGGTATCATGAACCAATCCATGGAAAACTGTGTTATCTTAAAAAAAAAACTTTATAAAAATTTTCTTGAGTGATTTTAAAAATATGTTAATTTACTTTTAGAAACAAAAAACAATATTAATCCCAAACAAATCATAAGCAAATTTCTAATGCAGTGATATCCTGAGCCCCAGCACAACCCCATCATGAGATGTGACGTTGTCATTGATGCTAGTTGTAACGTCCCGCTAATATTAATTGGGAGAGAGGGTTCGAGAGAACTGAAGGAAAAGAGGAAGATGAATAGAGCAAATTGGAAGCCGAAGAGGAGGGAGATGAAGCCAGAAGTCGGGAAATTAAAACGAGGGGATTGGAAGACTATGCGACGAGTTCATCCATAGAATGATATGACCAAGACAAGATTCACTTAGCTGGGAGTCCAGCGGTGTGCGAAGGAGAGGAGGATGGTGCCGAAGACATTCTAGCCGACGATGAGGGGGCCTAAGGAAGTATTGACGTTGGGGTCGAGCAGGGGAGAGAACGACATCAACTCCTCCAGCAGGACAAAGCTGAGCATGGAGGAAGGAGCCGTGCGTCTGCGGGTAAGGGCTTCGACCAACGAGCGAATAAAAAGAGGAGAGCAAGAAGCTTTGCATAGGAGAAGAAGGGTCGAGTTCGTGCGGGAGGGAGCTGAAGCCGAGCTCTTGCGTGGTGTGGATCGGAGTCGAGCACAGAGGGAGGAAGAAACTTTTGTTCAGCCGGCGAGGTAAGCTTTAATTAGATCATTTGATTTAATTATAATAATAATAATAATTGATACATATATATATATATATATTTAATAGAAAGTTTAAGTGGGATTATACAAAGGAAAATATGAAAATTTTATACATGAATAAACTTATACCTAATTAAAATAATAAATTTTTTTAATATATGATAATATAAATATGATGTTCATGCTAGGTTTCCAATTAAAAGGATTTCACGCCAAGACAAAATAAATAGTAAATTAATCGACATTAAGATGAACACTCGTACATTTAATCTATAATAATAATTTATTTCTTCTTACTATTTTGTAGTTAATCACACTTGCATATGCTTTATTCTGATTGAAATATTCCTTTTTTATCGATCATATTATTATAAATGTTTGTAGTTACTTACTTATTATTAAAAGATGTGATCGATTTAAATATCTTGGGTCTGTTGTTCAAAGTGATGGTGATATAGACGGGGATGTTAATTGTAGAATTCAAGTTGGTTGGTTGAAGTGGAGGAATGCTTCGGGCCTTTTGTGTGATAGAAAAGTACCGCTTAGACGGAAAGGAAAATTTTATAAGACGGTAGTGAGACCTGCAATGCTCTATGGCGCCAAATGTTGGCCTTTAAAAGAGAAGCATAATAATAAGTTAAGTATTGCCGAAATGGGAATAATTAGGTGGATGAGTGGCTTTACACTTAGAGACAAAATGCGAAATGATTATATTCGTGATATGGTTTGGTATAGCTCCTGTGACGGACAAAATTAGAGAAAGTCGTCTTAGATGGTTTGGTCACATTAAACGTCGACCATCTAATGATTCGATTAGGAGAGTAAGATTCGACTTGTGTTAAGAAAGGCAGAGGTAGACCTAGGAAGGCTTGGGCTTATTGTATTAAAAATGATCTTAATTTATTAGAATTAAATGAAAATATGACACTAAATAGGACGCAATGGAGAAAAAGGATTCATGTAGCCGACCCCACGTAGTGGGATTAAGGCTTTGTTGTTGTTGTTGTTGTTGTTTGTAGTTACTTACTATCATTCATTGGTGTATGTTTTATATAGTATGTTGAATTGAATGTGATGAACACATGAATGATATATTTATGTTGACGGTTTGTATTTGCATTACTGATTATGATAGGGTCGTCTCTTTATGATACATGTGGGAGAATATTAAGGTACCAGTGCACGTAAATGAAAAAAATATATTGATATTAATGTGTCACAATTGACACAATTTTTAAACGGTGTTCCTGTGACACTGTGTCAGTTGTACATATACAAATAATATTGATATAATAAGATTCATTAAATATCATGTAAAATGTTTATATTGATTTATTAAAATAATTAACAGACATGCACATTACTTTCTTTTCCCTTGTTTTACTCTAGTTTAGAAGTATAAATATTCACTACTTGTTTAGCTCACTGCTTTTTTTAAACTAATTTTTCAGGTTAATTAAGTGATTAAAAAATGAATGATAAAAGAGAAAATAATCTACGAGGGCAACTAGTAACAAGATAAATTTAATTATACTATTTTATTTTATTTAATGGCTATTTTATTTATTAAATAATAAATAAAAATAGAAAATTTAATTCCCACCGTTCGACCGTATGTTCCTGTCTTAGTTAATTCCAAGCTCCGAGACAAGTCGTGACACTAGCATCCCTAAATTTGCTTGAACACCATAACTCAATAATCCCCATGCGAGACGCTAGTGTCCCTACAACCTCACCCCGTGAGGCATCATCCTCACTAACATTGCCAACCCTGTGACCTCATCCAACAGGACATCACAGCCCATGCATGACGAAGCATGGTCGTGTTACCCTACCCTCGGTAAGACCCCTCACATGACCTAATTCCAATTTCAATTAGCAGCATTTACATAACACAATTCTTGTGGATTTACATACCTAACACCTAAACTCTCATATTGACATGCATGCAACTCAAATCTTTAATGTCACATTAAAAACGTCATCACTATCTTTTTAAAAGTGAAATACAACTTTTCATACATATATTTACAATACCAAAGTGTTACAAGTGTAAATATCAAATTTTAGGAGTTATATATGTAAATCCATAAAAAATTGTGGTATGTAGATAAATTTCCTTTTAAATTATTATATATGTTAAAAATTAAATAGAATATTTTGATTCATTCCCCGAAAAACGAACACAAAAAAATTCTTTTTCTTCAATTTATTTTATAATCAACAAATAAATTCGAGAAACTAGAATTTATTGTATTTAATTAACACTGAATTATCTGAATACTCGTAATAAAAAAGACCACTAAATTAAAAAAAAAAAAAACAAGGCAGAGAAAAAAGATGCAAAATATCTTACTTGTGCTCTGATGGATTGGGGTAAAGTTCATAAACAACATTTGTCACGGCATCTCTCTTTAACTGCATAAGTAGGTGGAGTAAATTTATTGGATGCCAATCATTAATGAAGTATGCACCGCTTCATAGATTAAATAAATAAATAAAATAAAATAAAATAAAGAAATAACTTATGAAATACCTGAGTAGCTTCACCGCGCAAGCCAATATAGTAAATCTTAGTTGTACTTGCACCAAAATTCCCCGGAAAATGCAACGTAAGGCTGCCCACGCTTTGAAATCTCGCGTATCTAAGTAAAGATATTGAAGCATTGCTTCGGTTAAAAGTAAGCAACTAAAGTAAAAAAGAGAATTTACATACATATCACACAATTCTTATGTATTTTTAAACTGTCAACGGTGAAACAGCACACATTTTCATTAATATGCTTTGATATGATTATATTGTTGAAGTGTTTTATAAATAAATATTAAAATTTAGATTTTAAAAATACAAATACATAATAATGATTATTGGGTATTTAAATCTCCAAAAAAAAATTATACCAGTGAAAAAAGGCCAGCCAAAATGAAACAATTGAAAGCACTTTTTGAGTGTTCCTTTACAAGTGCAATGCTATAGTTCATATCAATTTAAAAAAAAACACCAACAGTGAAGAAGGAAAAAAAAAAAAGAAGTTCATGGTTAACATATGACTACAAACACATAACAAAATATTGCAAAAATACATAGAAAGAACATAAAATACAATATACACCAATGCTTACAGTATAAGCCACAAAATTCTTACATGTTTACATATCAAACACCAAAATTTTAATACATGATGTAAATATGAAAAATTATGTAACAACTGTGTTTATATATAGTTGTGTTGTGTTTATATATAGTTGTGTTTATATATATATATATATAAATACAGTGCATGTACCGTGGCCTATTGGTAGAGCAGTCTCTCTGAAAGTCATAAGTCCCCTCAGGTCACAAGTTTGAATTCCCCCGTGTGTAGGATGTGGTACTCGAATATTTGGCACACCTAGGGACGGTTGGGGCTCTTCTAATAGCCTTCGGCCATTCTTATATATATATATATATATATATATATATAATAATAATAATAATTTGTTCGAGGTATTTCAAACGGAAACATCCGTCTCGAAAAGCTCCCTCTTCTTAAGAGTTGGACATCTCTTTAAAATCAAATGAGATGAAACAGTGATAGAGAAGGAAGAGGAAAAGAAGCAACGATAGAAGAGGAAAAAAGTGAAAGACTTGATGTGAGGAATGAAGCTAGGATACGCTGTCGACCAGGTGAAGGTGACGAAGCAGCCTCGACAATATCCAAGTGGATGAAGACCAACCCTAGTTGAAGGAAGGAGCTGCTTCGCTTGTAGGAAGAGAACTTGTCGAAGGGCTCTGTGTGAGAGGGAATCCTGTGCCCTGGCCGAGGAAGGAGGATTGAAAGAACTTCATCGAGCTTTCTAGCGTTGGTTCTAGCAGAAGTGGAAGAGCAAGTGAGCCTTGTGCAAAATTAAGGAGAAGAAATAAAAGGGGAGAAGTTATGTTCAAACAACTTCATCTGAAGGATGGCAGAGAGATTTCTATTTGCAAGGTTTGAGCAGAGGAGATGTAGAGCGACTTACATGCGGGTGAAGGGAGACAGCTCGTCTCATGTGTGAGAAAGGGAGAGGAGGGGAGGAGGGGGTTGCAACGGTGACATTTAAGATAAACTTTAATTAATTAATTATTTATTTATTTTAAGATTTAGTTATATAATTATAATGGTTGAGTATAAAATTAGATTCATGTTAATTAATATTAGAAAATCAAGATGGAGTAAATTTTAAATTGTTGATCAAGGAGTTTTGACGCAGTGAATGTTAGAGTTTAACTTTCAAAAGTAATCTCAATATTTAATTTAAAAATTTAAACTCATAATTAAAATGAGAAAATTGAACTATAGTTAATTAAAATATAATTAAGTAATATGAGATAATTTTATTAAATGCAATATTTTATATTATAGGTGCTAACTTAAAAGAAGTGATAAAAAATGGAGCACAAGAAAAATATTTAGAATCAAAGTAAGTAATCGCATTTAAGTTAAATAATATATATTTTTAATATAATTTTGCATACAATTTTTACTATTATGTCTTATATCAATGGAATAAAATTGCAAAATTCTTCATATAATTAATCATAAAATATGGATGTTAAATATTGTTATCTTAATAGTTGCATAATAGCTTATTTTAGAAATATATTATATTCTTGCATGACTTTTATGTTCTAGTAGAGATATATATATGTTATCTTATTGCATGACCATATATATGTCTCAATTACTTGACCTTTATAATTTTAGTAAATGTGCATATATCAGTTTATTTCATGATCTATAAATTAAATATGATTTCATTCATTTATCAGTAGATAGCGGTAAAATGTTTCGTTAGGAAAGAATGTATTATATGAGAATAAAGTAGTGTATATATGAATACTTGTATAATAATGCTAAGAAGAGGAGTTCACCCCTTCATGGTACAGGCAGGAGATGCCAGTGTCCCCAACGCGTAAATGTTTTCCTATCCTAGACAATTGAGATATTTGGAACACTAATCGCAGTGCCAACATGAAAATACCGGCTAAGGGTGAATTAGACACATTTTCATATCAGACAATTGTCTAATTTATATCACGAACCACTGTGCCGACGGAATAATATCAGTCAAGTGCGTGTTAAGTTTATGTTTTGATGGTATGTGAAAGTTAAATGTATGAAATAAAAGTAAAGTTAAAGATTAAACATTGACGATTAAACTTAAAGTTAATGGATACCAAAATAATTCCATCAAGTAAATGTCATAAACACAAACATTAGATTATTACAAGACTTTTATTGAAATCAGTAAAACCAAAATGCATATAGTTTTGCTTTTCTTGGGTTACTGTAGTTTTAAAGTTTAAGCTTTTAAATAAGATGAATATTTGAAGAGTTAATGTGTACATGAGACGAACACAACCAAAAAGATAACTTTATTTTGTTAATTAAAATGTTTCCCGTAGTGGCTATGTCAATTAATTTTTTATATTGAACTGTTAGTGATAGAAACATAATTATAGAAAATTTAATTCCACCATCACTTCAATTCCAAGTTCCGGGTTGGGTCACACAATTTAGATGTTAGAAATGTAAATATATAAGAATTATGTGGTATTTCTGTAAATTTCCATAAAAAATAAAAAATAAAAATGATGACGCGCAAGCAAGCCAAATATAAGAAAACCACAATAAGGGAGGATGAAACATAACACTTAACTGGTAAGCACAATAATTTTACTACGCACCTTGTCTGGTATTCCAGAATTCCATGCAAATTCTCTGCCAGCTCCCACTCCTTCACAGAAAGGGAGAAAAAAAGACGAGGGTCAAATTAATTATAATGAAAAACCACCCTTTCACAATAAAGAATAGGAAGATTTACATACATACCACCATTTCATATATATTTACATATATAACACAAACTTCACTTTTACATGCATAGCACCTCATCTATGAATGAAAATGTGCATTTCACTTTTTAAAAGTTAAAATGGTGGCATTTTTTATGTGATACGATAGATTTGGGTTGCATAAATATAAAATAAAATTTAGGTATTAGATATACAAATACATAGGAATTGGGCGGCATGTATTAAAATGCCCCTAAAGTATATTTACCTGCACAGGTTGCATGTTCTGAGCATCAGAGAAATCAATACCATCTTGATTGATAAACCTGTTAAATTTGTTTGGTTATATTTTTAACTAAACCAAACAATTTATAAACATCTGATAAAAAAAAAATCCAGAAAAATTATGCTTCCTAAATGAATCAACAGAATAAAGCAAATCAAGCTGGTTATGTTGGCACTACTGTTGGCAAGCAAACTCTTAAGCGAATATTTATTTATTTATCATTAGTGATGCAAAATACAGAATAAAAGGATAATATTTAGTAAATCTTAAAAACACATGGTTTAAATATACTCCCTTGATTTAAACCAATTTAACCACCCACCACACCACCTCTATGTGACAAATGAGGAAAAAAATCTAGGAGATTTCTCTATATAAGTTAGAAAATATAGTTCTTGTTCTTATACACGCGATTTAATGATTTTACCTTTCCCAATAAAACTTTACGTCCAATTTAAAAAAAAAAAATTAACGATTTTGCCCGCTCTCAAAATATAAAGCTGGCTCCACCCTGCTTTACACAGTTATATGAGTCGTAACTAGCAAGCAATGAGAGTTCTGAGTAGGGATTGACATATAAACTTACCCTTGCAACCTTTATATAGTTCTATTTGCCGAGGAGAAAATTCTTCTCTGGAACATGCATATATCTTAAATTTTTACAGGGTCATTTGTGTAAAAATGATGTTTTTTAGCACATCAATGGAGAATTATCTCTTCACATCAAAGATTAGAGCTGGATATTCATATGGAAATCATAGCATATGATATGTAGTTAAATGGAAAATATAAAAAATATTCATTAAGAATTTATTAAAAACAATATAGTATTCATTGCTTCATAATTCATAGCAGTAAAAAAAAGTAATGAATAAGAAAATGAGTTGAAAATAGACATACGCTCTCATTTTTGAAGGACTTGTTCCTTCAGCACCTCCAACGACAGAAATGCTCTTGATCTTAACAACTGATGTAAACCTATTTTCAAGAGGTCAGTCAACCTCAGAAAAAGCAGTTCCCTAATTACACAGTTTTCAGAAAAACATTCATTAAGCTCCTTTATTTATTTGTGAGTAAAGTGCCAAAATAGTTTCTCATATAGGGTCATTTTAGTTACAGAGTCTGTAAAAGTGTCAATTAAGTCCTCGGCTCTTTAAATTATAGCTGTAGTAGTCCTCATGGAGGACTTCTAGAGCCCCAAATTTAAAGAATCTATGACTAATTTGACACTTTTATAGACTCTGAAACTAAAATGACGACACGTAAACATTTAGGGGATTATTTTGGCACTATACTCATTCATTTATGCATGCATAACTTTCAAAGCATATTATCAAAAGCACGAATTCATAAACACCTTACATCATAAGTTTAAAGACCTTGTCAACTGAAGTATTGATCACATTTTAACAAGAAGTCCAATCAAAATATTGAATTTACATGATATAACAAGTAAAGTAAAGATAATCACAGATTCATATTTATAACATTATACGATGGGAAATGCAGAAGTAACTTACGGGATGAAAACCAGTAGCTCCGGATCACCCTCATTACTTTCCAAAAAGCCCTGATAAATTGATATTGATAGAAAACATGTTAAAATTGGACAAAGAGAACTAGCAAATTATTTTAACCTGAAAATTTTATTCATACAATGAGAACTATCAAAACAACATATACCACAAACTTGCTACTAACATGCTGTGAGGAAATCAAATAAGCCATTAATCAAGTGATTTAACAATGATAGAAAATACACTTATGACATCGGTGGATAAATTAGTCGTACAAGATTATGAAAAAAATGGGTAGACTAAAATTAAAATAAATATTTGCGGGGAAAAGATGATACCCCTATAAGCGCACAATAAAAACAAATAGCAAATGGGGAATTGGGGATTCATAGAGATGAATCCCCAATGATTGTGGCAAGACCAAAAGGATGATGATGATGAGACTACAAGAAAGGAGAAAATTAAGGCAAATTTCAGTCTAAGCATTGAATCCTACAACGGCATCTATTATTATTTAAAAAGCAATTCATTAAAATTGTTTAATATGTTTAAAACATCAGAAAAGCATTGAAATTGAATCCAACAATCGTAAAATTGAAAGTTGCTAGCAATCATCAGGACAAATTGTCAAGAGCAAACAAATTACAACGTAAAGGCCAAGACATAGTTTTTAAAAAAAGAAACTCAGGCACCCTGGAAATTATTGTATTTTTCCAACCCTTCAAACCACCACAATAACGCAGTTATTTCTTCAGGAAGTAGATGTAACCCACTCTACACATAAAATATGATAAAGAAAGTGATTTCTTCGACCACAAAGCATTACCTCTGAATTATCTAACCGGCGATCCCACGGCTTGAAAATGGATTTGACGCTTTCAGCAACTGATTCATTCAAAGAAGTTACCTGTAGACAAGAGGAAACCCAACGGCATTCATGTTAAGAGAAAATATTTGGAAAAATATATAAAGGTCAGAAAAGCATGAAAAATTGCAAACAAGGTGTGTAAAACAAAAAAAAAAGCTACTAGAATGTATATAAATACAAATACACTTTACGTAAAAGAAGAGCCCATGCTTCCCCCAAGAAACTATCAGTATTAATGATTTAAAAGAACATGAAAGAGAAAATCAATGGCGGACATCCAACCAACTTTGAAATTTATCTATTTCTTGGTCGTCTTATTTTAGGCCATTAATATTACTATATATGTCTTTGAGTGTTTAAATGAATTTTTTGGTGCAAAAAATCCCTATAAAATAGTTTTGCCATTTGGACGTAAAAATTAATGGATTATTGCAGCCTAGGCCATCTGTGTTCATAAAATTTTATAATTCTTATCCTTTTCTTTGAAAGACTCAATTTTTTGTAAGAGACAATGAATATCTTTCCCTTTTATTGATCCATGCTCTTTTCCATTCTTATCAACTTAGATTTACACTTCCAATATATGCTGCTTCATCAGGTTCTGGCACCAAAGCAATCTAAAAATGAACATGAAAAGTCCCGAGCAAAGAAGTCTTTTAATGAGAAGATAACGGCCAAACAACTTCAAAAAAGGAAAGATAACTAAGCCTTAACTAATAATTCGAATCCAAAATTTAATGCTTTTCTTTGAAGAACTTCCTTCTGCATTTCTTTGATTTTTATACAATATTTACTTAAAAAACACCACTTGATATAAATAGCAACATTCAGCTCAATAGTTCCATAATTTCAAAATAAAAGTTAAGGGACATTTACATGCATACCATCCGATTCTTATGTATTTACATATCTAGCACCTAAGATTTAATTTTCTACATCTATACCATCCAAATTTTTTATATCACATCAAAACTACGACCACTTTAACTTCAAAAAAGTGAAATACACTTTTTCATGCATGTGGAAGGTGATGTAAGAATAGAATTTTAGGTGTATAGATATGTAAATACATAAGAATTGAGTGGTACGAATGTAAATCTCCCAAAAGTTAAATGTCCATTGGTCAAAAATCCTATTTTAGTCAAACTAGAGTCAAGGTGTTCTCATTTATTTCCTGACCAAGTTCATGCTGTGTTGTCCAATCAAATTTGGCTGATCTGCTTGGAAATTCTTGCACTAGAACAGCATGCAATTAAGTTCATCTGAACTTGACAGATTCAAAATTACATATGCTTGATAAAATGCCCCTAAAGAATATTTACCTCCACATGAAGGGCTTGATAAAATGCAACCTACAAATTGAACTTCCCTAAGTGGACAGTACAAGAAAAAAAAAACTGGCTTTTGCGCATAAATTAAGAGAACCTTACATTGGTTTCAGGATAGTTTCATTGAGTTTGGACATGCCATCTAACAACTTAGAAAGTTTCTATTACAAGAAAAAAAAAAAAAAAAATGGGTTTTTGGCCTAAATTAAGAGACACCAAACTTTCCAGTGCTCCAAAATTACTAACCAAAACTAGAAAAAAAAAAATTCCATACATATATTAAGCCGCATAATAGCTTAAAATCATGCATGCCCATATTCAAACAAATCTTGACTAAAAAAAATAAAAAAAAAGCAATTCTTACAGGTATTTCAATTTTCAAACACTCATTGGCCTTCCCTTTTTATAAGATTACAAAATTCTGAAAATATAATTTATTTTTTCAAAATCAATCTCAATATACTCTTCTTAAGTCTTTTTCAGGCTTCAAAATTCCTACAAGTGAGTCTTTCTTTTAATTGCTCAAAAGCTTCTCTACCTCTCTCTAAGAAAGTTTTCATATAAAACTATTTTAGTTTTTTTCTTCATACTTGCATTTTTATATGAACAATTTTATCAAATTGAAGTGGAAATTTAGAGCATGGCATAAGTAGTGTTTTGTTTTCCCAGTCTACTATTCACACTTCTCTAAATTTTTAACCAAGTTAGTTTGGCTAACAATTCCTTGGTCATTATCCTTCACTTAAGAAAGTTCAAAATAAGTTTTTAAAATAATAAATTGCAAGCTTAGCCTTTAAAAATGATCGTCATTTCTTCTCCTTGAGCTGAAAAGGAGTGTGAGGGTATTGCATTTTATACCATCACCTGTAAAAAAGTAGTTAGCGTTGGGCTTAATTTCATAACTTACTAAATTGCACTGACATTCTTTATAGAAGTTCAATAAGGGCAGAGGAAATTTCCCAAGGAGTTCAAAAAATCTGTTTAATTTCGTAGGAAATAGAAAGTGGATGTAGCTTCAACAAGAAGCTACAATCACTAAGAAGTTCTCAAGTCATCGGTTAATATATATTTTTACCGCATCGACCTTACCCAGTTCAAATAACATTTTTTTTTTCTTTTACTCGAAGGGTAATTATACTTCTTGACTATAAATGTGTTTAGGCATCAAAAATCATTTTGAAAACCATACCATGGCACTTGCATTACAGAAACTATATATCATGATAATTGCATAATTTGTAGATTTCCCGCATGCAGCATATTGACTACCCTTTCCTCAACAATATTACAATACATAGTTTTTTAGGAGCTGTTAGGTTAGAAGACTTAGCCAAAATTCAGCCATGATTTAGACTAAATATTGGCAAACAACTTTTTGGGGCCACCTAAATCCTAATACCTTCTTAATCCTGTTTTTATTCTTATTTCAAGCTAAAATCCGAGTAGTAAATCCTAGAGAAAGTAGGAATTAAGAGATTTACAACAGTTTACTTCATCGTGTCCCTTCTCTCTTTCATTTACATTATAAATCTTAAAAACTAGCAATCTGTTTACTAATATTTAACGAAATTTAGCATTTCATATAAAAAAAGATTTAGGGAAGAATACATACTAAATCCTGCACGCAGCCAAACAGCCCTTAAAAATCTTACACAAAACCCCAAACCCATTTCCATACCGGTTCCCGATCCCCCATTCCACCATCATAGCCATCATCCTCAATCTTACTGAGCATAATATAACACAATCTTAAACAAAACCAACTTGAGATGGCTCCACTGCGACCATCTTTAGAGAATCAAAACAAACACTTCAACGTTAAAAATCACCAAGATCAACCATAACAGAATAAACAAACAGGATCTGAACTTGCACTGAACCCATCAGAACGTTGAATCCACAAATGTTCATCCCCAAACAAAAATCGCAGCAGAATCAAATCTAAAAGGGATGGGAAGAAGAGGAGACGAAAAAGCTGGACCTGTTCTAGTTTAATGTGTTTGTAAAGCGACCAATCCGCTGCGCAATTGTGGTCTTCGCAGCTGTGATCATGAGTGCAAGACATCCTCTTCACTCTATTCCTTTCTTCTCAGCAAAAGAAGCGACCACGTTGCCGCTTAGTTCGATTTTATAGGGCGCCGGCTAGGAGGCCGACGGGTCGGGATGTTGTGTTGGGTACGCCGCGGAGGAGAATAACGGAACTCTCACGGGGCTGTTGGACATATTGAACTTACCTACGTTTGATTTGCTTTAGTTACACTTTCGTCCTATAAGGCCTTAGAATTTAGTTGAGTGTTTCTGAGATGTAAAATGAAAAAGAATTAGTATGATATGATGTGCAAAAGCTTTTATTACAATGAGAATTGAGATTTGATCTTTGTAATACTTTAATATTTACATCCATACCTCTTAAATCTCTAGCATTCAAAAATATTATTTTTAGAAACTTTTTAATTACCAAGTTAACCTTTTTATGCTCGAGTTTATAGCACCAAAGTGTTATGCATATAAATATCAAATTTTAGATATTACTACGAAACACATAATTGTAGAATTGAGCTCAAAAGTCAAGCTTGAGCCAACCCAATTTAATCTTATTAATTTTTAAGTTGGCTGGCTTAAGAAAATATTAATATAAACATGCATTAATCATAAGACACATACAAGCCAATCAATTTCTATCCAATTATACATTTAACGCCCAAACTTTAAATTTTTACATATATAACTATATGACATTTAATATGCATTAAAATAAATATTTAACTTTAAGAAAAAAAAAAAGAAAAATTATATTATTGACGCGATATTAAAGACTTTGAGGGTATAACATAAAAAGCAAAACTTAGATATTAGAAATGCAAATACCTAAGAATTGGATGGTTTGTAGATGAATAACCCAAAAATATGTTAGCATATGGTATAATACATAATTACATAAGTTAATAGAAAATTTACAAGCATACCAATCAATTCCTATCCATTTATATATCTAACACCCAAATATATTTCACTTCCTAAAAGTAAAAGAAAAATAATATTTTTTATGTGATTTTTGCGATATAAATATAAAAAAGCAAAGTTAAGATATTAGCTATGTAAAAGCATAAGACTCAGTTCCTTCATATGTAAATGCCCCTAAAATATATTAACCATGCAAGAGCTAAGAAACAAAATTGTCACTTATTTCAAAAATCATATCATATTTTATTATATCAACAAATTATCTCCTTTTTCATTGTTTTTATTATTTTTACAATAACTATTTACATTTTTTTAAAAAAAAGAATGGCCAAAGACTATTATACGAGCCCCAGGTCACCCCAAATGCGTATAACAGTTCGAGTAACACCTCCTTAAGGTCAACTGTGTCGAAGGGGATTCAAACCCCCGACCTGAGGGGTCTTATACCGTGGATGTCAACCAACAGGTCGGAGTACGCAGCACAGTAACTATTTACACATGATCAATGAATCAACCCATAAACTTAAGCTCAAGCTCCAACTCAATTAGATAATTAAGCTCAAAATAAAAATAGAAAATTTAATAAACCAAAGTGGTCACATACATCGATACATGATACAATACATGGCAATCAATTAATTTTCAATCTAATATGAGAGGCTCTGACACGTTGAGGTGATTTCATGGCCTTCATGATGAAACTTCCAGCAATTAATAGGCTCTTTTTGCAGTTCCAAAATTTTGTTTTTCACTTATAACCTTCCTTACAGCATAAATGTCAAATTCATAAAAAGAAAAATAAGTAAAATTAAAATAAAAATCATATCCTAAGATTTCCAAGAACTTCTACAATATCTCCAAAGACTAATGAGTATTATCATGCCACCAGCTGCAGAAGCCAAAATCTGTAGGGCGTGAAAGAAAAGAATTAGTGTTGGATCAGACATTAGTCACAAAAGCAGCAACTCATTTAGCTAAAAAATGTAGGGAGTGTTAGTATTTACATATATACCACTGAAATCTTAGGTATTTATATCTCTTACAATTTGAATTTTGCCTTTTACATTTATACCACCAAAATCTTTCATGCCACTCAAAAATATTGATATTTTAACTTTTAAAAAGTGAAATACACCTTTTTCATGCATAGTTAAGGCATTATATGTAAAAATTAAAGTTTAGGGGTTAGATATGTAAATACATGAGAATTGTGGTAGGGATGTAAATACTCCAAAAAGTAAATTAGACAAAAATGCTTGGAAGGGTACGTTGAGAAGAAGAATGCACATAAATTCACTTAAATAATATCATTCTAAAATGATTGCGTAGTTTTTATGGAAACCCGCGGGCCATTTTGTAATGCGGCTCGGCTAGAATTTATTAAATTTATTTTTGCAACTTATCTGAAACAAATGAACAAAGGGTCATTTACATATATACCACAATTCTTATGAATTTACATATCTAACACCTAAACTTTGATTTCTTACATTTCTAGCACTCAATTTTCTCTTATCACATCAAAAATACTATCATAATTATCTTTTTAAAAGTGAAATACACCTTTTGATGCATAGGTAAAGAGGTATTAATGTAAATATCAATGTTTAGGTTTTAAATATGTAAATACATAACCATTAGGTGGCATGTATGCAAATCTTCCATAAACATCATGAATCTCCAAGGATAAAATGCTTTGATTGTTTAGACCTAATAGTACAACACAAGATGTTAAAATAGTGGTATTTTTTATGTGACATAAAAGATTTGGGTGGAAAATGTAAAAAGTAAAAATTAGGTTCTAGACATGTAAATACATATGAATTGTGTGTAAAAATTTGAAAATTGTCTTTTTAACACCTTTCTAGTTTCCTAACTTTTAGACCCAAAATGGCTTAACATAATATTAACTAATGAGGGAATAAATCAGAAAGAATTAAACATTGTTGCCAAAGAGACGAGAAAAATGAATGCAAAATGTAACGAAGATAGAATGCAGCCAAGAAATGATCAGTTTCTTACCTTCGCATCCCTGCTAAATCCATCGGAGCTGAATAAAAATGATGATTTTAGCAGTTTCATGCGAGATGTCTGCGGCATAAGAATCACTAAAGTATACTGATTTTTGCATGGAAAAGGCAATAATCTTCGTAGAGCCAAGAGCATCGATGATGGAGTCAAACATTTTCTAACTTTGGTTCGGCCTTCTTCCTGAATCTGCAAATATGCAAATAACAGAGAAATGAAGAATGATCTTACAGACAGTTCATCCACAAGAAGGGAAGCTAAAGCATACTAAAGAAGATTGTCGAAGAAAAAGGTTGGAGGAACACAGAAAATTGTCATGCATGTTTCTGTAATGCATTTAATGTCAACAAGGTTTCAAAATATCAGAAAAATCATAAAAGAAAGTCAATATGGTATTAAATACACAAATTAACATATGTTCATTGTCAATATGAATAAAAATATATGGCTGAATGCAAAGTTTCAGATTGAGGAATTACGAGTCAAATAGTATTACCATTATGCATAAAAAAGTATGGCTGAAAGCAAATGTTTCTAAATTGTGGAATTATCTCTCTATACTTGGGATATTATAAATTGGGAGTCATAATGAATAATTAAGTTTTGTACTTCACAATCAATGACAAGCCTTAGCACGGCGACGAGGAGAAAGAGATTTCTCATTGAAGATACATATGGTGAATTCAACAAAAAAGTCAACAACAATATCTGGTTGACATAGGTAACGAATATCAAACTCTTTTCATTCCAAAGACTATTTAATGAACATTCTGGATGCCTCTAGTCTATGCAAGATAGCTCTTAAGGGAGCTATATGTAAATGCCAATAATTTGGGCCTAGAAATATGGATGTAACCTTCTTACATAGAATACTCAGGTTAATGCGATTTTGTCCGCCACTAGGTAGTGACTTTCCGTGTCAGAGAAAATCTTTTTAAAATAGTAGATGGGTTATTGAACCATTTTTTCTTCCTTCACCAGGATAGAGCTTATCGCTTGTGGAGAAATAATGAGGTGTATATATATAACATTCCTCATTGGACAAGTTTCGAAAGAAGGGATATCGAGGCGGAGTATGTCTTCAGTTTTATAAAAACGGCTTGACTTTGATCCGTATACTTGAAACAAGTGTTTCGAGTACGCCTCAGTAGCTTAAAAAATGATAGGTATTTATCCTCTGAGTGAGCCAAGGAACGAGACATAGTGGCTATGCGTTTGTTCAAGCGTTGTTACTCCTTAATATTCCTTGGGACATCACATCTTTAAGTGCTTCGATCATCTAAGGATTTGGTTCAATCCCACCATAAGTCAAAATGAAGCCAAGGAATTTTTCTAATCTAACATTCAAGGCGTACTTGACTAGAGGCGCGTGTCATAGTGTCGAAAAAGTTAAAACATTCATCCAAATGAGAGATGTTTTAAGACATTTCTAAGCTTTTCACCAGCATATCGTCAACATATACCTTCATAGTATGCTCGATGATATTTGTAAAAACTTTTTCATCAAACATTGGTCGGTTGCGCCATCATTTTTCAACTCAAATGACAGACTCGATAACAATATAGGCTTTTATCTTATTTGGAAGGACGTGGCCTCCTATCTTTGAATTTATCTTTATTTGATTATATCCAGAATATGCGTCCAAAAAGCTAAACATCTGGTACCCATATGTTGCATTATCAGGTTGGTGTCTATAAGAGGGAAGGGAAAACTATCATTCGGACAAACTATTTGAGGTCGGTATAGTTAACACATATCTTCTAAATTCCACCATCTTTTATTACTGATGCAATTCTCATGTGAAGCTTGCTTCTAAAAGCTTATTGACTTCCTCTTCAATTGCTTGCAGGTGATTTGAAGTAAAATATCACTTCTTTTGGATTACTAGCTCAAGGGTTTGGTCTTCCTTTACGAACAACATAATCAACTTAGAGTCAACTACAAGCATGTCGACAGGGGTCCAATTGAAGGATGCATTAATTTTTACTGAGAAGATCTATAATGGGATGAAGTTTTCGTATGACCCTGCAGAGTATACTTGGCAACCCCAATCAGCTCAGCAAAATACCAGATAATGAGACAAATATGGACGACAACTCGCAAGTGGGCAAATCTTCTCAGATATTTTGAGAGATAGTGCAACTAACAATGGGATCTAGGTGCTCATATTGACGCAGTTGAACACCTCTCAATCCCGAGAGGTTACAACAGCTCTGACACCTTAAAAAAAGAGAAAGAAACTTCGACGAATAAAGTCAAAGCTCCCCAACCTCCGGAAGGTTGACACAACAGTCCCTCGCGCTTGAGCGGAACACGGGATTTTTTGTGACAAAGCAAGCATTTGCCTACAAACCTGGACCGAACTGGTCGAGATTTTTTTCATGGTCTGCAGTCAGTCGATCCTTGTGGGTCAATCTTAGTTATCCTATTATTATATATTTGTATTTTTGATATTCTATGATTATTTTTTTGTCAGTTTTCTATAGAGACAATCGTTGGCGTCTCTAAGTCTTCCCTTCTAGGGTTGTAACCAATGGCGAATGATGCTTCGGCTATATCTCGTTCCGAGGTGGTGATTATCCTAGACTTCCCTTTTTGCTGCTACCTTCCCTCCGCCGCCACAATCCTTACTCCTCGTTGCATCAACCAAACAACCCTTTCGAACAGTTCTTTTGTAGTGTTACTTGTTGTCACCATCCCAAACACGCCTCCCTTGCTTCCCCAATCTTCCCAACCGCCCTTTGCACCCTCTGTTGCTACCTACTTGTTGTCCAATCCTCCCCCTTGTTGTTTCTAGCAACACACAACCCTCTCAGCCGTCCTTACTACCCTATAGCTATCGACCCACTGTCCAAGACCCCCTCCCCCCACCCCCCAACCTCCTGTTTCCGACCACACAACAACATTTCCCGCCACCCCTACTCATTGTTGCTCCTCCTCTACCCCATTATGACAACCTACCACTGCTTTCGAACCACCTAGCCGACCTCCACCATCCACGAATAGAACCCTAATGTGAGTTGTGTTGTGTTGTCATTATTTCACATTTTAGTGTGTTTGGTTGTACCCAACTACTTGTCTTTTTCAGTAATAATATTTGCTTTCTATTGTTATCTCCAGTTTTGTTATATATATATATATATATATATATATATATATATATATATATCAAAGACTATTTTCCAGTTGATTTCTTGATATAGTCTTGCCATATTTATGTCTCTACAACATTGGAGTGGGGCCATTAGATTGAATCATCGTAAATGCGTTTGAACATCAATGGACTCTTGTGCAAATAAATTTAGAATTTAGGAGCTCCTCTGAACTAGTTCAAAATTCAACAGAAACGAAAGCAAACATTATTAAGCACAAAATTAGGGTTTACAACACAACACAAACTGAAAAAGAAAATATAACCTCAATAATCTCCGACTTGGACTAGAAGAGAGTGGAGAAGGCTTGGTGGTTGTATGGTAGGTTAGAAAGGGGTTTGGTGGGTTGCACTAGGGGTGTGAGTCTAGTCAAGCTCAAGCCATGCTTTTATCAAAGCTTTTCTACCAAATTGAGAGCTTGAACTCAAGTAGAGATGTCAAAAATTGACCCAACACGGCTCGAACTCGATTTGAAAAAATCCGGGTTCAGATTGACCCAAATATATTTTGAATCGGGTTCAGTCAGAGAATCTGACCCGTCTATTATTCTGGTCAGGTTCCGAGTTGACACGATTCAAGTTTGGACATTTTTGGGTCGGACCTGAACCCAACCAGTCAGCCCAAATTAGCATCCCTAAATATCAAAAATTGACTCGATGCGCCAACATGACTCAAACTCGACTAAAAAAATTTGGATTTGGGTTGACCCAAATATTTTTAGAGTTGTGTTCGGGTCATAGAATTCAACCTATTTATTATCTGTGTCGGGTTAGAGCTGACCCAATTCAAGTCGGGTCATTTTCAGGTCGAACACGAGCCTGACCCGTCGACCCGCATTGACATCCTAAGCTCAACACTAGCTTGAATCGAGCTCGAATGGCGATCTCAATCTCGACTCGTAGTGGTTGCAGTCGGCTCGCAGGCTCAAATTAAAAATTTAATTTTTACAGTAGCTGACCAGAGAAGGTTTTGGTGACCAAAAGAGGCTGAGAATGCAGTGACAGCTCACCGAAAAATGCATCAAAATAACTAACGGTAGGTTAATCGAGCCTGCTCACGAGCCAACGAGTTGAGACAAGCTCAAGCTTGAATAAACGAGCTCCAGTTTGAGCTCAAGCTCAAGCTCGTGGCTTGAAAAGTTCGACTTGAGAGCTCGTTAACTATTCGAGCTTGAGCTAGCTCGGCTCATTTACACCCCTAGGCTGGACAACAATGATTGCTGCAGAAGAAGGGATGACTAGGTGCAAGCAGATGGTTGAGGGGTTGGACAACAAAGGCTGCCGCCTAGAAGGGAAGGATGGGGTGTTGGGAGGTGGACTGAAGGCTGGACAGCAAAGCTACGCAGCAAAAAGGGTCGGCTGGTCCACAGGAAGGGTGGTTTAGGAGTGGACGGCGACTAAGTAAGGGGGAGGTGAAAAGGTAGGGAAGAAGATAGGAGCAGATAAAACAACACCTCGGAACACGATATAGCCGAAACATTATCTTTCGTCGGATACAACCCTAACGAGGAAGAAGGAGACCACAAGGAGAACTCGGAAAACAGCAAGCAAGCCAAAACTAGCCATAACAAGCAAAAACAATACATATAATTGATAGGATGTAAAATAGGAAGGGCCTCTTTAGGTGGCAATCAGAAAAGGCAAGGGGGTAGAGCTAGCCGACAATCAGAAAGGGAAAGGAGGAGGGGAAAGGACGGTAAATTCTGCCCCATTCTTTAGTCAGCCGGTCCAGCCTTCCTACTGATCCAGCCTCATTGCCGGACCGACAACTCCTAACTGGACCGGTTTTGGACCAGTTCAGCCCTAAGCCCCAGCGTCATACTCAAAATTGTTCTCCAATAGAAAAAAAAAATGCACAATGCATTACCTCGAATGAGACATTGAGGTCGCCAAAATAAGCCCGTGATTGGTAGCTACGCAAAATTCTATCCAACCAATAGTAATTTTCCTGTAAAATCCAATAAATTCAGTTAATTAATTATGGTGGATATATATTGGATATATACAAAATTCAGTAATATACTGAAAATATTATTCAGTAAGCTAACCTGCAAACCATTTTCATGAGCTCGCTGCTCTATTTCAAGGATGGTTGAGACATCTTCAACAACTGGCCCTTGCTCCTGAAGGTAAGATATCTCTTCCAGGGCAAGGTCAACCTACAGAAAGGTGGATGGAAGGTTCAAAGTGGTAAGTTCCAATAAACAGAATAAACTTAAGGGAAATTTACATACATAGCATACAACTCTTATGTACTTACATATCTCACACCAAAACTTTCAAATTTACATACACAGCACATTGGTGTTTTAAACCTATGCATGAAAAATTTTCTCTCACTTTTAAGAAGTGGTGAAAGTGCTATTTTTTATGTGATATTAAAGATTTGAATGCTACGTATGAATACATAATTTTAGGTGTGAGACATGTAAATACTTGAGAACTGTGTGCTATGCATGTAAATGCCTCTAAAATTATTTGAAGAGAAGGCTCACCAGCTTTGAGGAAATATCCGGATCACATGAAAAGCTAACGCTTATATCACCACGCACATCTCCAATTCTTGAAGGCTTATTACCACCAAGGAAGACAGAGACGCCCACAGAGTATACCTAAAAGTTTCCATAAAAACAGACATAAAGCAGTATTGTTATCAGATATAACACTAAAAATATAATGAATAAGGAGGGAAAAGGCTTAAATGGATGCACCTGGCCATGTTTGAAGCGAAGAACTTGCATTATTTTCGTTTCTAGTAATTTACTTAAAAACCCGATAAAGTGAATCTCTTCCAACTTACAATTTAAGAATCATAAAGCATACAATGTTAATCAGCAAATCAAACTTTCTGTAGGACAAAACCAAGCATTCAATTTTAAGGGAGAAGAACCACACCATGGATGCACTCTTTAGAACTACTGGAAAAGTTAGCTGGACAGAGCACTGAGCTTCAACCATAGGACTGCGAACAACTTCTCTACATATAGTTGACTAATTTTGTAAGCAAAGCAACAGCATATTATCAACAAATTATGCATAAAAACCACAATATTTATAAAAATGAGGCGAATACCTAACAATGGTTTCTGGAAACTTAAATGGCAAGCCTTTTAAATCGTCACGATTGAATTGTAAAACAGGTTCATATGGCCTTGGAATTCCACCCTATTCAAAAGTAAACTAGTAAATCCATTAGTATACGAGAAAAGTTCCTATTTGTCAGGGGTCATTTTAGTCCCAGAATCATAATAATGTCTATTTAGTCCCCAAACTCTTTTAAAGGGGACTAAAATAGTCTCCCTAATGGACTATTTCAGCTCATAATAAAAGAGTCTGAGGACTAATTCGACACTTTTATAAAGTTAGGGATTAAAATGACCCCATATAAATAGCCAATGGACTGTTTTGCTACTTTACTCATTAGGATATACTGGTGACAAACTAATTAAAGAAATTTGTTATTACCAAGTACTGTAAAACTAGCGGAAGAGATGAATCAGCATCAATTTTCCCAACTATGACAACAGTAAATGTAGAGGGGTCCTTGAAACAATCGTTGAAATATTCACATGCTTTTATGGGATTCACTCTTTTGAGGTCACCAATTCGAATAGGCTGCACTAAAATAGCATTTAAAAATGAAAAAAAAAAAAGAAAAAAACATAAAACTGAAAAGAGAAAAAATAATGACAAAGTATTCATCAACCAAATTGAACTTACTCTAAAGAAATATGAGTTCCCATAGTTTAACTCCCGGACACGGTTTGCATATGCAGTGTACGGGTCTCTTTCTTGAGCTCGAATTGCCTCCTCCGCCATTTGCATTACTATTTTAACTTCTTCACCCCTTGGTTCAACGTTAGTAGAAAAGAGTTGGTAGACAAGCTGAAATATCTCAATATTAAATTACATCAGCAAGATTGGTCTGTAGGGTCGGATATATAACATTCATAAAACCATTCTCTTTGACTCTTCCTATAAAAGCAGAATAATGCATACTCATGTTACTAGGTGCAACAGCAGATGACACTGAAAGTTGAAAGAAACAAATTATTGATGGAAGGGAAGGGCGAAAAGAATGTATATTTCGGTTTCCTCTCAGCTCAGGACAGCAAAGGATCAAATTTTATGTTCAAAATCCGATGTAATAAAATAATCAAGGTACCTCTTGACGTCAAGGCCCAACATTGCCTGGGTAATGGAAGCGCTTTCCTCTTTCTAAAGATAGAAACTTACTAACAAAAAAAGTTGCAAAAATGGACTTTCATTAGCAGAACGCCATATATATATATATATATAGACTTTCATTAGCAGAACGCCATATATATATATATATATAGACTTTCATTAGCAGACTTCGACGAGCTCTGCTAGGGTTTCGCCTCACGGTGAACCCTAGCCTCTCAGCTGATGTAATTCCACCCTCGTTCGTAGAAGGGTGTAAGCTCCTCTGTTTCCTCCTTCTGCTTTGTCGAGCTGCGCCTGTGTTCGCTGCTCGTTGTAAGGCCGATCGCGCTCTGCGGCTCCGTTTCCTACTCTTGCGGCGTCGTCTCACCGCGGTTCTTCTGCGCAGCTTTTGTCGAACTGAGGTTTCGACTCTGTCGAGCTCATCTGCGATTCCTGTCAGCGGTTTATTGTCTTCTGCGCAGTGCCCCGACCTCTTCGGCCTGCCCGGGCTTCTACTTGCTGTGATGGAGCTTCCTTCTTCTACGGTTGAACCTAGCAAAACCTCATTTGCCCACGTTGTGAGTAATCCTCTGGGGGAGACGACGATTGTGTTCCCCTCAAGTTATAAGGAGAATCGAGATGGTACATGTGACTGCCCCTTCATTAAGTATGCAAGCAAAAAAAGTGAGAAGACACTCTTTTTCTCTGAGTCAGAAATTTCAACAATGACTAACAAATTTAAGTTTGCTCTCATTGAAAAATTTCAGTGGAGACACCCACCTATGGAGGTTATCAGGAAAAGTTTTGATGACCACAAATTATCAGGAAAGTGGAAAGTGGGGCTCATTGATGGGTGACATGTTTTGATTCAGTTAACCGTGCCTGAAGACTACACTCGGATTTTCTCCAAAAAATATCTTAACATTGTTGGTAAACTTATGAAGCTACTCAAGTGGTCTCTGAATTTCAACCCAAATCATGAAACTCCCAATGTAACGGTATGATTTAGTTTATCTGGTTTCAAGCTGTATTTTTTTCATCATCAGGTTTTCTACTCTATTGGGTTCATCATTAGGGATCGTTCGAAGCTAGATCTGCCTACTTTCAACCTAACCAGACCCTCGGTGGCCAGAATACTTGTGGAAAAGAATATTACTTTACCTGATGTTCATTAAGTCTGGCTGGGCACAACCCATAATGATTATTGGCAACAAATCGTCATGGAGCACAGACCCCCATATTGTGCCCACTCTAAGATGTTTGATCATGTCCTTAATAAAAGCCATAAGTTTCATCCAAATTTGAAATCTAAGTTTCAAGTGAATAAGAATTGGTCTAACCACACTGCTCTGGACACTTTAGTTCCACCTGGGGAGGATACAACCAAACATGAGATGTTTGATGCCCCTGAGGAACCCACCATGACACTGTTGTTACTATTATTGCGAGTGATGTGATGATGACACCTTCAAACCCCATAAAACAATACTGATGAACTATTACTTACAAATTACAGTGTTCAGTTTGATAATCAGGAGAGTCTCGTAGCTCCACTTCTTCAGAAGTATCCGGTGTAGAGGCAACTCATACTTCACATATACTAGAACCTATTGTGGGTACTACGGTTGGTAATCCTTCTGTTTCAGCTCTACCACCCCATCAAACTGATTCTTCGGAAGAGGAATGGCAGGTCTATTCCAGGAGGAAGAAGAAGAATGGAGACCGACTCAAGCTCGGGAGCATATTGGATGATACATTGGTTACTACTGACAATGACAATCATCTTACCAGCTTATTAGTTTGCTCCTACCCTAGAACTAGAGGCAAAGGCAAGACCAAATTGGGTCGCTCTCTAGCCACCTGATATTATGTATTTTGGCACTGTTAGGTTTTTTATTCAAGTATCTAATGCATTTTTCTGTTTTTTTCTAGTTTTGGAACTATTTGTGATTTTTGTGTGGGTAGGGTGTCATGTTTGGACCATCCCACATTGTATATGTATCTTTCTTTCTATTTAGTAGATTAGCCTTTTTGGGCTTTCAATATATATATATATTATATATATATTAAAATGGTGTCGATGGTGAGCTGCTCCGCTAGGGTTTCGCCCGATGGCGATTCCGTGGCTTGATCTTTCGGCTTTCCCGTCGTGCTCTACGACGAATTCTGCGTTTGTCAATCTCTCTTGCGATCGTCGACTCCTACGTGTCATCGTCACGTCTCGCTCTTCCATCGCATTACCCAACTTTTTCCTGGTCGTTGAGCTGTGGCTGACTTCCAAGTTGTCTCGTCGTCGTCGTCTCGTCTCGCTCTCCTTCGCGCTAGCATCTGCGTGGTCGTCGAGCTGCGAGCCGTGTCGAGTTGAGTTCTAGGTCATCTCGTCGTGGTCGTCTCCTCTCACTCTCGTTCGATGCAACTGCTCTATGACCTGCCTTGTCGAGCTGCGACTGTTCCGCGGCTTCGACAACTGCATTTTTTTGCCCCGACCTCTTCTGCTCGCTATTTTTGCCGCTGTCCGACTTTGGCAGGGCTTCTCTTGTTGTGATGGAGCTTCCTTCGTTTACGGTTGAACCTGACAAAGCCTCCTTTGCCCACGTGGTGGGGAATACTCAGAGGAGGTAATACTCAGAGGAAAACGGCAGTTGTCTTCCCCTCAAGTTATAAGGAGCAACGGGATGACACAGATGATTGTCTCTTTTATCAAGATTGTAAGCAGGAAAAGTGTGAAAGCATCACTTTTTTTTCTCTGAGCTAGAATTTTCATCATTGACTGGTAAATTCAAGCTTACTCTTATTGAAAAATTTCAGTGGGGACACCCACCTATGGACGTTATCAGAAAAAATTTTGATGATCTCAAATTAGTAGGAAAGTAGAAAGTGGAAAGTGAGGCTCATGGATGGGAGACGTATTAATTCAACAAATTGTGCCTGAAGACTACACTGAGATTTTTTCCAAAAAATATCTCAACATTACTGGTAAACCAATGAAACTACTCAAGTAGTCTCCTGATTTTAACCCCAAGCGTGAATCTCTTACTGTACCGATATGGTTTAGTCTATCTGGTCTCAAGCTGCACTTTTTTCATCATCAGGTTATTTACTCTATTGGTGTCATATTTGGGGACCCTTTGAAGCTAGATTTCGCACTTTTAACCTAATCAGACCTTCTGTGGCCAGAATACTAGTTGAAAGAGATATTAATTTACCTGATGTTACTGAAGTCTGGTTGGGCACAACTCATAATGGATATTGGCAACAAATTATTATGAAACATAGACCTCCTTATTGTTCTCATTGTAAGATGTTTGGGCACAACCTTGATAAATGCTATAAGTTTCACCCTATATTGAAATCTAAAGAACAAGTGAATAAAAATGGATTTGACCCCACTGCTTTGGACATATCTGCTCCATATGGAGAGAAAACTACCACAGAACAGGTTATGGTGTCTGATTTAATCGCCCCCATGGACCCTTCCCCTGAAAATACTATTTCAGCGATCGATGAGAAGCTGGATAGCCCTGCTGAGCAACCTACACTTTCAAACCCTCCTCAATTGCAGGAAGCATTAGGTGAAAAGGAGACAAAAGGAGACAATTCATTCATGCTTCACACACACTAGAACTTAGAGTCGTTGCAACAGTTGACAATCCTTCTTCTGGTGCTCATCAGATTTTATCTGCCCAGCATTCTGTTTTCCAACACGATGATCAAATGAGTCAGTTTTCTGAGGAGGAATGACAGGTCTATTCAAGGAGGAAGAAGAAGATTGGAGGTAAACATCAGCTTGGGAACCTGATGGATGATACTTTGGTTACTTCGGGAAATGGCTCGACACTAAAAAATTTGTTATCTGGATCTCGCCCTAGAACTAGAGGCAGAGGCAAGACTAAACTGGCTCGTCCCTAGCTACTTTTTTTTCTGCGATTTTGATATCTTTCCTTTTTTTTTGGTTTCCCAGTATCTTTTCTTTTTTGGGGTGTTTGTGTGTGTTGTATCGTATGGCTAAGGTGCCTCTGTTGGGCCCTCTCATACAACATTTATGTATCTTTCCTATTTTAATAGATTTAGCCCTTCGGCTTTTCAATATATACAAGCACAACAAAATGAATTTTTAAACTATTTACTTAAATTGAATTTGTACTAGAAAAAGTATACTCGAACAATACATATTTATTCATAAAACGAGAAAACCAAAAAGGATGCTACAACCACCTTCAACTCTAAGTTTGCTCATTACTCACAATTTTCAAGGCTGCTACAGCCGCCTTACCTTTCAGATTTCTCTAGTATGATGATTCTCTATCACATTTTGCTAGCCACTTTTCCGAATCACAGGGCTTTCCTTTCTCCGTCGTGCAAGCCAACCTTCCTTCCAAGCATCACCTTTCTTCTTGTTTTAAAGAGGACAAGGCTAGGGAATCTCAAGATAGTCGTTAGCCCTCTTTTCCTTGCTGCCATTGGAATCCTAGTCCTAGCCGACCTTATTAGAGGAGGCAATCAGCCGCTTCCACCCTTTTTCTCCATGGCAGTAGTCGTTGAGCCTCTTCCTCTAGCCGAACAGTACCTTCCTTCCTCCTTGTTTCATAAGTCCTCCTCCCCCTTTCCTTCTAATATCTATTCTTTAATGCAACTTATTATATGAATATGTATATACATAGATTTTTCTTATGGCCTATTATAGACCTATTTCCATCCCATTATAGATTAAGTTAGTATTATTTTTATAATGATAATGAAATTAAAATATGATAATAATAATAACCATAGTATTTTGGGTGCAAGACTTTTAATCATATTTTCATCGAAGTGGTTAGGTGAAACTTTAAAAAATTAGAAATTTCATATTGACCTCCTCAATATAAATAATTGTTACTTACCCTTCGTTGTTATGGGTGTTATCCTTGTCGTTTTGTATTAGCTCGCTAACTAATTTGTAAACTTGTCTGTCATATCTTTTGTGTATTATTTATACTACTATGCACCTGTTGCAGATATTTGTAATAAATTGTAAACTTGCCTTGAATTGTAGCTTAGACAATTGTAATAAATACTGTTCTCACTCATGTTATATGGATGTTTGAAATATTCATATTATTTTTCACATTAGTTACATGATATTCATGGAAAATTTTGGAATTCTATGAGTTTGTATGCAGTGATATGTTGAACTCTTTTAGATATTGGCTAATCTGACCGACGAACCCATAAAGTGATGATCCTACAACACGGGCTTTCCTTAGGTTGGTGTTTACCTTCTCGGTTTCAGGGTGTCTAACAAAAACTAACCATATAGATATAAATTGAACAAAAATTAGACAATAACATACAATAGTGAGACTTGATTTGTTTTGAAATGATAGATTGTTAATGATTGCAATTTACATTAAATAGCCTGAGAAAAGTCACATTAATCTGATTTCAATTTCAACTTTTGCATAAGAGTATTACATATATGCATATAATAAATCATCTTGTTTCATTGTTCATACAGCATGCTAAAGCTTTTTCATTTATGCTTTAATAAATAGTGATTATATATTAAATTTTATTTGTCAAACTCACTCGTTAATATTTTTGTATAGCGGGTATCACCCAATCACAAAGATGACTGCCTCCACAAGAGCAAACATTTTAGCTCTAGATTTACTTTTGGGTATTTTTACTTTTTACATGAGTTATTATATTTTCCCTTAGGGTTTTGGTGGTTATCCATTGTTATTTCATATTTTTTTCTTGTTTTTCATTCAGTTGGTAGTTGTTGTTCAGCACTTATGTATGAAATGAGATAAAATCCATATTTCCTTGTTTTAACTATTACTTGTATATACAATCTTGTCTTGTACAAATACAAAACAAGTTCAAATCCTTTCATCATGTCTTATGTTGTCAGGGATTACCGCCTTCCAGAGCCAGTGTGACACCATAGATCTAGAACCTCAATATATATGGCATTGAGAGTTGCAAGGGATAATGATGAAGAGAATAAAATCATCAAGGATAAAGTGATTTGAACAACCAATGAATCTGTGCGATCTGGTTTAGACAAGAACCTAGTTTAGACAATGAATATGTGCGATCTGGTTTAGACAAGAACAACCAATGAATCCGTGTGATCTGGTTTAGACAAAAACCTAGTTATTTGTGCCACTATGATAATAAATAAAGGAATACTAGTCGTGTCCACCACAGTAAGCAATGACTAACTAATAACCACAACAATCCCACAACCAAATTATCATTTTCCCAATCCCATCCAAAAGAAGCAATTTAACTGCTAGTACATCATACAAATTTATGCAAGCTGTGCACACGTAAATCACCAACTTACCTTATTTTATTTTTGGGAAATTTATATGCCTAACACAAAATTCTTATGACTTTACAAATCTCACACCTAAAATTTTGTATTTACATACATGACACTTTGGTGCTTTAAACATATGCATAAAATGATATATTTCACTTTTAAAATAATTGTAATAATGTTAACTTTGGTGTGATATTAAAGATTTGAGTGCTATATGTGTAAATATGAAAGTTTAGGTGTGAGATATTTAAATACATAAGAATTTGTGTGCTACGTATGTAAAATTCCCTTTTTTTTTACTTTAATTGTAGATTTTTTGAAGAGCAACGAAATCAACAAAACTCAAAACGCTATACTTCCAGAGCCATCCTATCATGGTGCAAGCCACGTAACACAGAACAAAAACTAATTGAATGAAATGAAAATGAAGGTGCAGGAGCAAAAATAACTCGTGAAAACAATAAGAAAAATTTACATATACCACTCAATGATTACGTATTTACATATCTAACACCTAAACTTTAATTCTTACATATATGCCACCTTACCTATGCATGAAATGGTGTATTTCACATTTTAAAAGTTAAAAAAGTGGTATTTTTGAAATGATATGAAAATATTGGGTGGTTAAAATGTAAAAAAGCAATATTTGGGAGTTACATATGTAAAAATATAAGAGTTGGGTAGTATGTAAATGCGCCAGACAAAAATCAGTTATAAAAATACAAATAGGTCTGAGACCAGTATCAGATTATCAGTTTGCTGAGCCCCTTCTTATAACAATAGTTGCAGTGGGTAAAATAATGCCTGGTTCTCGTGTCATAATGAATACTGGAAAGAACAACAAAATTTTGAAAATTACAGCAGCGAACAAACCTGCAAAGCAGTTTCAAGATCAGAAGGCGAACAATCACCAGAAAAGGTCCTCATGTATGCCCCAACTTTTGTACTGATTTCAGCTCTTTTACCGGCAAGCATATCCATAAGTACAGAAGGTTTGTAACCAAATACACCAATTTCTCCTGAAATAGTTGATCCCATTGAGCAGGAAATATATTCATCTTCACGGAGTTCAGATAACCCACCATATGCAAAGCCAGTAAAAAGTATCTGTATGGGTAGATGTCATCAGGAACAACATTAAATCAATATTTTGAAAAATCAAAAAAAGGATAAACCAGGCCAGATGGTTGATAAATTGAAGGTCAATCGAAAAGCGCAAAACAGATAATCGCAACTCTCTTAAGTTTACCTCAATACACAACACAATTTTTTTTATGGAAGATTGACATACATGCCACTCAGTTCCTGTGTCTTTATGTAGCTAACACCCAAACTTCAATTTTTGCATAGATACCACCTTACCTATGCTTGGAAAAGTATATTTCACATTTTAAAAGTTAAAATGTTGGAATTTTTTATGTGATGTAAAAGATTTGGGTGGTATAAATGTAAAATAAGCAAATTTTTTGTATTAGATATGTAAATAGATAGAGATTGGGTGGTAACTATGTAAATGCCATTTTTTTTTATTTTTGCCTCCTAAAATGTTTGCTTTACAGTCATATGAATGACTGTTTAAGAAGACAAATAACTATAATTGAGAGAATCAGTATGCACAACTTTATCAGAGTTTAGAGGGATAAGCAAAGCAAATTGGCCATCAATGACAATGGCTGGTATAAGCAGAATTCATACTTTCTTGAGCTTGTGATCACATAGGAAAGCAATATTGTTAATTTTTAGAGGAGAAAGCTCTTTTGAGGTATCTTATTACAAGATGTTCCCACTAAAAAGTAATAGAGCCAGTGTAATCTTGTAAGATATAAGCAAATAAACATACACTACTCATCAAATAGAGAGTGATTTTCTGAGTGATATTTTCCCATGCTAACAGTCCCTTTCAAGATGGATCATATATATTATTTAGGGCGAAGAAAAAACAAGAACCGACACAAATCCAGAAGAACACAAAGATTTAACGAGGTTCGGCAAAGATACATACGTCCTCAGGAGCAAAGCGGCGAATTCCTTTCAATATTCAGAAAAGAGATTACAGAATTTGGGATAATACCCAGTGTTACATACAGACATATTTATAACCCTAGAAAACCCCGGAGTACAATATGTAATTACCAAATTACTCATGTACCACACCCCCAACCCACATAACAACCCACATAAGGAAACATAAGGAAACTTTCCTGATTTGAAAAGAATCTTTTGCTCTGCTCCGATCCGCTCCAGAATTTGTCTCTCTATGGTATATGGGTCATATCTAACAAATCTCCACCTTGGCGAATATCCAGTCCCTTGGGAGAAATACGTCATGGAGTTCCCTACATACCAGAAGTGGGTTGGGCCACCATGCTTCTCTCTTAGAAGAAAAATAACTAGGAGTTACATCTGCACCACTGTGGGTTGGGCCACCATGCTTCTCTAGCAACTACAAACATTCAACAAGCCCAAGCAATGCAAGAACTTGTTGATAGTAACTGGTTTGGTAAACATATCAATTGAATTCTCATCAGTATGAATCTTCTGCAACAGTATCTCACCAGAAGCAATCAATTCTCTGATCTTGTGATACCTGACATCAATGTGTTTGGTTCTGGCATGGTACACCTGGTTCTTAGCCAGATAAATGTATTTTTACTGTCACAATGCAACTGAACTCCACCTTGTTCAATGCCCAGTTCCTTTACTAGCCCAACAAGCCATAAGACTTCTTCTGCAGCTTCATCTACTACCATGTACTCAGCTTCAGTTGTCGATAATGCCACAATAGACTAATTGTTGATTTCCAACATATAGACGCTCCACCAAGAGTAAATATATATCTGATTGTAGACCTTCTGTCATCCAAATCACCAGCATAGTCAGAATCAACGTACCCCACAACTGAAGGATCATCCTGCTGACTGTCAAAAATAATTCTATGTCCTACAGTACCCTTCTCATATCTGAAAAATTCACTTGACTGTTTCCCAATATCACCTTCCAGGTTTAGTCATGTATTTGCAGGCTTGACTAATAGCATGAGTCAATTATGACGAGTACATATCATTGCATACATCAAGCAGCCAAATGTCTTTCATCTCTGTATCAGTCTTAGGACACTGTTCTGAAGAAAACTTTCGATTTCTGTATTTGTCTTAGGACACTGATCTGAAGAAAGCTTAAAATGATTTGCCAAAGGAGTGCTTACAAGCTTTGCTTTTTTGTTTTGCTCATCCCAAACCTTTCCAGCACTTTCTCAACATAGTCTCGTTGAGATAAACATAATCGTCTTGAGTCTCTATCTCGATGAATCTCCATTCCAAGAATTTTCTTCGTAGAACTCAAGTCTTTCATGTCAAATTCTTGACTCAATAAAGCTTTCAAACCACGGACATCATTCATATTTTTTGCAACAATCAGTATATTATCAAAATATAGTAATAGAAAAATAATAGAACGATCATCAAAGCTCTTCACATAAACACAACAATTATACTCACATCTCTTGTAGTCAATCTGAATCATGTAAGAGTCAAACCGCTTGTATCATTGTCCTCAAGACTGTTTCAACCCATACAGCGATTTCTTTAACCTGCAAATCAGATGCTCATGTCCAGGTTGAGTGAACTCTTCTGGCTGTTCCATGTAAATTTGTTCATCCAAACCACCATGTAAGAAAGTATTTTTAACATTTATCTGCTCCAAATGCAAATCACAAATGGCTACTAATACAAGCACTGTCCTAATTGAAGTAATTCTGACCACAAGAGAAAAAATTTCATCATAATTAATCCCCTTCTGCTGTGAAAATCTTTTTGCTACCAGTCGAGCCTTGAACTTTTCCCCTTCTTTTTCTGATACTGTTAGTTTCCTTTTGTACACTCACTTGCAACCAATAGCCTTCTTTCCCTCAGGAAGTGGAACTAGCTCTCATGTGCAATTTTTCTGTAAAAACTCCATCTCCTCAACATTGCACCCATCCATTTCTCTCTTCTGACTAGTGATAGCTCCTTGAAGAGTAGCTAGATCATTGTTGCTGATAAGAAGTGCACAAATGACCAAGTTTTCATAACTCAATCTGCTATAAGGTCTTATATTGGTGCGTCTCTGTCTTTCTCTGGCTAGATTAAACCAGGTGTTAGATTTGAACTTTCAACTCTCTCAGTTGTTTCTGGATATTGTTCTAAATTCATCTGCACTGCATCTGAACTGGAATTGTTCCCTTGCACATTGTCTTGATTTTGTTGTAATATGGATTGTTCATAAAAAACTGCATCTCTGTTGATCATCATTTTTTTTTGCAATCATATCTCAAAACTTGTATCTTTTCATATTTTTTTGTAGCGCAGAAAAATGCACTTCTTGGATTTTGCATCAAGTTTTGATCTTTTATCTTCAGGTACATGTACATAAGCAGGACAACCAAAAATTCGAAAATGATCAAATTTAACTGAATTATCTGTCCATACTTCTTCTGCGACCTTGCCACCCAATAATGTTTGAGGTGATCTGTTGATGAGATAACATGTCATATTCACAGACTCTGCCCAGAAACTCTTAAGAAGTTCTGCATTCAGTCACAAGCATCTTGTCCTTTCAGTTAAGGACATGTTCATTCTTTCTGCCACACCATTATGTTGTGGTGTCTTACGCAATGAAAAAGATCTCTGAATTTCATACTCCTCACAGAACTTCTGAAACTGCGAATATGTGTACTGTGACAATATCGGACCTCAAATACTTGCTCTTTCTGTCAGTTTAATTCTCCACCTCGGTTTATTATCATTATCTGACTCCACAGAATGAACTTCACCTACAACTGTACTCCCCAACAGTTTGTAGATATTGCTTACAGTTAAATTTCCTTTCATCACCGCCAGTGCACCCGTAAAAATTCTGATGATTTCCCTATCATCATCTACCTTAGGAATATAACCATTTATGTGTAGAGTGCCCAAAGAAATCAAATTCTTCTTCAGATCTGGAATATCTCTAACATCACATAACGTTGTAACTGTGTCATCAAATATTTTAATTCTGACTTCTCCAATACCAATAATATTATAGCATATATCATCACCTAAATAAACCGAGTCAGAATTAGTTGATATGTATGAAGTAAACAACTCTCTGTTAGGTGTTATGTGATAAGAGCATCCTGAATCAAGAATCCATGCATCCGTGAACTGAGTTGATGAAACTGAGAGCATATCTTCATCACTGCAATCTAAATTGTCACAAATTGTCACTCTGCACCACACTGCACCACATTTACAGACTTCGATGATCCATCACATTTCTCCCCAGTTTGCTTCTTGAGCTTTGGACAATCTCTTTTCATATGATCTGGCCCCTTGCATTTGTAACAATGAATTGTCTTTTTGCATTTGGACTTAGATCTAGAATTTCGTCTTCTAGAACCCTCATTCTCTTACTTTCTTCCACGATCCTACTTACCCTTAACATATAAATTGTCGTCATGAGAGTTTTCTCTTGCATTCTGCTTCCGTTGGTTGTGAGCCAACGATGCTGCAGTAATCTCATCAACTTTGATAATTTCTTTCTCATATGTAAGAGTAATCACCAGGTGTTCATAGGAAGAAGACAATAAACGCAACAAAATCATCACTAGATATTTATCCTCAATATTCACATCAAGCCGCGACAAGTCTGTGATAATTTGATTGAAGTCATTAACATTATGTGTCAGATCAGAACCTTCTTGCATCTTCAGCCATACAGCATTTGCTTCAGATACAATTTATTCGTCAGAGATTTAGCTATAAACTGAGTTTTCAATTTCTTCTATCTCCCCTGGAGATATTAAATTCATCACGTGATACATAACTTCATTTGTCAGGAATAGGCGTATAGTTACTGTCATTCGTTGTTGCAATTCTTCCAAATCTTCATCCTCCATGGCATCTGGTTTTACTGTCCGCAAAGCTTTTAAGATTCTTTGTTGAGTCAACAGATCTTTTACTCTTGTTTGCCACAATCCGAAGTTTCTAGTTCCATCAAACTTCATCACCTCGAACTTCGCACCAGATATTGTCATTTAAAATTGATCATGCAACAAATTATTCTGCAAATTCCTCTGAAAATCCTTC